CATAAAATAAAAAATTTATATCTTTATGTTTGAAGCCTGAAATGTGGCAAAAGGTTGAAAAGTTCAAGGGGGCCGAATACTTTCGCAAGGCACTGTATGTAGAATTTTTAATTTGATTAAATTTGTATTCAGATTTGTAAATGTTATCACTGGAAACATCTTGTTCCGAGTCTTTCTTGGCTATTTTTTCGTTTCGTTTCTGTTTTGTTTGTATTATCTGATGTTCAGTGTAGCTTGAAAAGAAAAGGGCAAAAAAATCGCGCTCAAGAAAACAAAGTGCGCTTTTTGATGGAATATACGGTAGGACAGAGGAACCGGAAGGAAATGTTCCTGCTTTCCCTTTCGAGACGCGAGTGCAGCAGCAGCCCTGCGGCTGTTGTGAGGCGCGGTGCGCAGATTCGGCAGAGAGACCATGGAGGCGATCCTGAAGAAAGAGCTGGGCACCTCGACTCTGCGGGCCACTGGAGGCGCAGGGGGCGGGTGTATCAGTGAGGGTCAGAGCTACGACACCGACACCGGCAGGGTGTTTGTCAAAGTAAACCGCAAGAGCCAGGTCCTTCGCCAAGTCTTCTCTCAATTCTGTGGCTCGTCGCTTCTCGCATATATGTTCGAAAATAGGTTGTTGCTTTAAAGTAGATATGAATAGTTGAGGAAGACGCTTTTTCAGGTAGTCTGAAGAGCTCCGTTATTGCTATATTAATTCATATATTTTAAATTAAATTATGCAAGCTCAGAAGGGCGAATCCCGTTGAAAAGTGGGAAAGATTTTCTATGAGGGGTCCAAGTCCAGTCTGATTTGCCAGTGGCGTATGTTTCGGCTGATGAACTAATTCTGGGTACAGTGTGGTTAGCATTGCGGCCTCGCAGCACTGGTTCCTGGGCTACTACCAGTGTGGAGTCCACCGTCCTGTCTGATGCCCACCCAGAGCGTATGCAGCTTGGCGCCTGTTGCTTGCTGGAATAGGCGCAGGCTCCCCCGTGACCCTGTATTGGAAGACGCAGTTAGAAAATGGGTGGATACAGTATTACATAAATTTTCAATGCACAGATTAATTCTTTACTTTGGATTGTTGCGTTCTGTTGTAAACTAAAGTGCATGTGAATGTCGCTGAACTGTCTCGGTAGCATTGCCTGCACTCATCATAATTTAGAGTGTGTCCAAAGTAGAGACCTGGTCCAGTCTGCAGAGCTGCTAGGACTGTATTGTGTGGCTTTACCATTTGGTAAAAGGTGCAACCATTGGACCTTTTTGGGTTACCCGTCTCTGCTAATGATCCTGAAACATTTTCTTGTTAGAGCTGCGTGGTTTTCAAAATTGCCAGCCTATATATGTGATTGATCGTATTCTGACATTGAGAAAATACTAACACCTCGCTTGTAATCAGTATTGACTAACCTGTCAACCATAGTGTTTAAGAAACTAAAAGAGATATTTTGGAAATTGTTTTTGGTACTGTATTTCTATTTTTAAAATTTTAACTTTAAAACTGTGACTCATATTTGGATAAAAAGCTCTCAACATTTTAGGATCCAATGAAATTATTTCCTGTTTCCATACTGTGAAATACATTTAATTAATGTATCTAATTAGGAAGGTAAGACATGCAATGGATATTAAGTTTCTCTAAAATCATTCTTTGCATCCAAAGGCTAAACTCATGTTTGAAGGAGAAAAGGCGGGTCTGGAAGCCATCCTGCAGACCAGCACTGTCCGAGTCCCCAGACCTCTGAAAGTCATTGAGCTCTCCTCGGGAGGGGCGGTGTTTGTGATGGAGCATTTAGACATGAGGAGTCTGAACAGGTATTCCCAGGGTTCCCACATGAATAATTTCCCACCCTTCTACTGAAAATCTTGAATTCACCGTGTTAGGAACATTTATTTTTTTAAGCATTGACACAGTGAGGTGTCACACTGGGCCTATTTTGCAGGTTCTCTGCACAGCTGGGAGAGCAGATGGCAGATCTTCACCTTCACAACCAGGGGTTGAGGGAGAAGATGATCAAGGAGGAACAAACAATAGGTAACGAACAGCAGATATTACATCCTTTAGTTAGAAGACATCAGAGTATAACCGCATTTCTGACAGCCTTTTTTAAAGTGCAAAGTAGTTTCCCATCTCAGTACTTCTAAGCGCCCTCACCTTTCACAGCTACCATTATCCAAATCATATGATTAAAATTAGGAGCACAGTGTAATGCCACACATGTTGGATGTCAGTGTATGTACTTCAAACCTACTGTTTTTATCTGCTTGCCCAGGGAAGGGGCCTGGCCACTCTGAAGTCCAGTATGTTGAGAAGTTTGGGTTTCATACAGTGACATGCTGTGGATACATCCCGCAAGTAAGTTGGAGTGCAGAGATGTTAGTTCTTTCGCGGTCTATTTCTGTTCCTCCTCCATTTTACATTCCCTTATATTTTCAGGATGGATACTGGAGGATTGGAAGCACCAAGTTCAAAGTTTAGTCTTGCAAAGATTATTGTTTTTCATTTAGGAGAAAAGTAATATTTTTAATACATGGAAGATGACTTTGTGACTTGCATCAGGAGAAGTCCTTTTTCAGTCCTAAGCAGGGAGAAGGAAGGGAGGAGAGTGTCCGGAATGTGAGGGAGTTTCCCGGTGGGTCCTGCTGCTGTTGTGCCCTCTTACTTCTCAGGACCTATTCTGTTTCTCTAGGAGAATGACTGGCAGAGTGACTGGGTCACCTTTTTCACTCAGCAGAGGCTCCAGCATCAGCTGAACCTGATTGAAAAAGATTATAATGATAAGGAAGCCAGGGACCTGTGGCCTCAGCTTCAGGTAATTAGTAACAACTGTACCAAATACCAGTCTCTCCATGAGACTTGAGCTATATAACCCCCTAACAGTAATGTCACATTGTGATGAAATTCAGATGTATACTCATTTTGTCAAATGTACTTTTTATTCAAAACTGTAATTGTCTATATGAAGGAAGTTGAATGTCAGCAAAAAGAACATGTAAAAATTACATTTTAATGATTGCGTAAGTATTCAGCATCCCTTTCACAGAAATTACTGCTGAGAACAGTTCTCTGACTAGTTTCCACAGTGCGATGGTGTTTTTTCTGCCTGTTCTTCACAGAATTACACCAGTTCTGACAAGCTTGCACTGCAGTAGCCCCATATATTTTCCATCAATTTCAAATCAGTCTTTGCTAGGGCTGTCACCTAGTTAAGCCAGTGTGGCTTTGACCTTTTGCTTTGGGTTGTTGTTCTACTAAATTGTGGATTTTCAACACAGTTTTAGATTCCTGGCTGACTCAAGCAGTCTTTTTCACTTATGCTGTGAACCTTTCGTTTCTTACTTAGTCTTGACAAGCTTCTGTGTCCCATCTAAGAGAATCACACCCATAACATGATGCTGCCACTAACACGTTTGGCCTAGGAAGGTGTTGATTGGGTGATGTGCTGAATTTAGGCAAAAGATGGAGCTCTTTAAATTTTGATCAAAGTTTGTTTTTTTGTCTCATCACATTTCTTTTGCATGTGAAATTTCATTTCAGTAATGATTTCTTTTTTGCTATCGTCCCATACAGCTGCTATGTATAGGCACTGGCATATTGTCAATAGATCAATAAGCCCATCTCGGCAAGTTTTTCAAAGTCACTGTTGGCTTTGTTGTCACATTCCTAACCATTTCCTGCTTGTGCAGCTGTTTAGTTTGGATGGGTAGTCTGATCTGATTTAGTGCCGGTTTTTCATGATGGATTTCTCCATAGTTGGGGATTATAATCAGATTTTAAACTTTGACATTTTCTTGTAACCTTCTCCTGATACAATTTTCTCTAGTATTTTATTTCTGACTTGTTTTGACAGCTTCTCAGTCCTCATAGTTGGTGTGTCATTACACTGTGCGTTGTGGCTTCAGACTGAGGGAACCTACAAGGAAAGACACATGTACTCTGAAGACTGAGAACATTACACTTATCTTGCAACCTTTCAATTCCCTTTTCTAATTTCACACCTTTTTTCTTATCTTAGCATCCTTAACTGATTTAGGGTTGCCATAGAAAAAAGTTGATTATGTTGTGTAGCTTCTAAATGTAAGTTATGTTTGAAAATGTCATGATGTGGGATGTTAGAGGGATGACTACATTTGCAAAGTACTGTATTTCAGTAGTACATTGTAGGTCTGAGCCTACAGTGGCAAAAGGACACTAAAAGCCAGAAATTCAAGGACTTTCCTATCCTGTAATTGTTTGAAATGTGTTATTTTCACCTTTTTTTGTGTATGAAGCATTTAGACTTGATATGACAAAGTGAATGACAAAGATGCTGTAGGAAAGTATTTCTTAGAGGAAGGCCTGCTGACACAACACTACAGCATCTACACACCATTATTCGCAGTTTTCATTTGGTAAATCAGTACACTTTATCTTTAGGTGGGTATCTGCGTTAGCATGCGTAGTCTGCAAAGGAACAAGTAATAGGTTTATTCCATGCTGAAAAGAGAAGAGAGAAAACACAACGTTTCGGCTGTGAAGCCTTCTTCAGGTGTTACTTTATCTTTATCACTACATATGAAACTTAATTTTCTGGTAGAAAGCAAAAAACCCACAGGTCCTTAAACAATTTATACATTACATAGCTAAGCCCTGGTGGTAGTGTCCCATTAGAGATTTGAACCTTCAGCCTTCTGCAAAGTCTGAACCCTAAGAATAAACATGTCAGCAAGCCATCAGTGCAGTTCATGGCCTCCATTCCTCAATCCACCTCTCAGACTCAACTGAAGCTCTTGCAGTTTCCTAGGTGACAGCTGTTTACATGCCCAGGATGCCAGTATAGGGACTTTAATGACACCTTTGACAAGTAGTTATTGGTATTTGTTCCTGCAGGGCAGGAAAAAGATTGCCCCAAGGTATTTTACTGTGCATGGTCAGCTCCTGTTGCTTTAGCCCCAATTGTTCAAGAAATAGCAGGGTTGTTACTGACACAGACAAGAAATGCATCGTAATCCAACTGACATTGTTTGGAAGCCTCTACTTAATTATAGTATTTTATTTCTGTATTCCGCTAAGTGAACTATTGCCTTTTAAGTGGTGCAGCAGTGCCCCAGTACGTTGGCTGCATATGAACGTCAGTTGACCAAAGGTGGTCCTAGCAACTGCATGAGTCTGAGGTTTAGAGTACTGGTAAGAGTATTTGTTCATGTCCGAAGAACATTTTTGAAATCTACTAATACATCTAGGAATTCAGCCTGGACCAATGAATGATATCTGATGTTAAGACTAGTTAATTTAAGTCATCAAGTAAACATTCTATAAATATTCAGCCCAGGTGCTAATAGATGAAAAGACTGCCAAATAAAAAATGCTTAAATGTACACCAGGAGGGTAAATCCCAAGGGATGCGAGCTGTTTCTGTTGACACAGAACACCTATAAAAGACACGTACGTGTCCGAGCAGTGCTTAAAAACCAAGCTATGAATGCAGACCTGTACTTGCAGCACTGATGTTTTTTTCAAGCATGGCCTCCTTTCATCTTTTCCAGCGGAAGATCCCACAGCTCTTCAGCGAAGTAGAGGTCATCCCAGCGCTGCTGCACGGGGATCTGTGGGGAGGCAATGTGGCGGAGAGTGGGGAAGGCCCACTGGTGTTTGACCCTGCTTCGTTCTATGGGCACTCAGAGTTTGAGCTGGCAATAGCCGGGATGTTTGGTGGATTCAGTAGCTCCTTCTACACTGCCTACCATAATAAAATCCCCAAAGCAGCAGGCTTTGACAAGCGGTTGAAACTATACCAGCTGTTCCACTACCTGAACCACTGGAACCACTTTGGAACTGGATACAGGGGCTCCTCACTGAGAGTCATGAAGGACCTGCTGAAGTAGTCTGATGCCAGCCTGCTTCATTCTGGGCATTGAGCTCACTAAACCCAGGCACTGAGCCCCTCACACCATAATCAGTGACAGCAACATTGCAATCACACTTAAAACAATTTGAAAATTCACAAAGCACCGTGCATTTCAGTGATTTGATTACTTACATTCTTAAAGCTTACTACCTAACTGCAATTCACATGACAAAGAATATTTATACTCCTAACGTTTTAGCCTGAAATAATGTCTGGAAATCATTATTGGTGTTCAGACCATAAAGTCTGGAGGAAAGTTTTGGACAAAATGCAGTACAACTGCACTCACTCCTGTGGATTTTGAGCAGAGAAACATGGTGAACAAAAAGTAGAAGCGAATGTGTGTGAGTACCGATGATTGCGTACTGCTGCACCCTGCAGGGGCTTGTGGGCAGCCTGTGGCTGGACTGGCCCACTGCAGGGCCTTGGGTTCTCTGTGCAGTCCAGATGTTGGGCACTCATGTAGCCCCATTGTCACAGGTGGGCGATTGTCACAGATTGGGGTGCTGCAAAATAATGAGTGCTCATGTTACCCTTATTTTTTGTTAAAATGCTCCTGGAGAGCATGAGGACAGACAATCATATTAAAGCCCATGAAGAGAATAATTCCATTTACAAAATTGTTTTGTGAAATGAACTGTTGTGACTGACTTTTTTATAGAAGATTCAGCAAAACTGCAGTTAATAAGTAGGAATTTATAGTATTAAGGAAGATGCAAAATTCAAAATGTCAGAAAATCAATGTTCATTTTCATAAATACTAAAAGATGACGGCAAAAAAATCTGAATCTGATTTAACAATCTGTATCTATTTAATCTGTTTTAGACACAAAGACAATTTAAAATTATTACCATAAACCATTCATCATGTAATTGTAGTCTCGATATCTTATCGTGTACTTCGAAGTTATCCATAATAGGAGAGCTCAGGGACAGTGGTATTGACATCTACAAGGAGAATAAAGAATTCTCAGTCTGGCTTCAGACCTCTGCTCTTCCCGTGAGCTCTCCACAGGCTGTGGGACCTTCACAGTGTGTAATGTAAAGAAACATTGCAATACAAGGTATTGCTTCCCTTGAGAATTGTCCTTTTGAAACTTTCTACTTATATATTTAGTATTTGAAGAAATGCTACTGCGTTTTACACCTTTCTTTTCCAATCCTTAATGTTGACCACTCTTTTTTAGCTTTGTTTTTAGTCTTAGTCCGTTATGGAGTTTCCAACAAACGTTCAGGAGGGATGACAACAGCCAGGTTCGATTGGCCTCAGCTGTATTTATAGCTGACTCATTTCTTCATGTAAAAAGTAGAAATACTATACATAAGCCCCTGCTTCCCTCCTTCTCCCTAGCTCCACCTCTGCAGCTGCCCCTTCGGTGGAGGGTAATAGCCTCCTCATCCTACAACCAGGTGGGTCAAGAAAAATTCACTAAAACTGAAACACTCAAACATTTTCAGTTCACTTAATTCTTGGTTGTTGTTATTCCTAGTGAAATGGGTGTTGGCCCTGGTTATATTGCATTGGGCATTGATTTTAAACCATACCAACAAATAATGATTTCAGTTGCTTTCATTTTTTCCCTTAGAAGTGAAATGCAGACCTTTGCTTGGTCAGATCAATGTCTACAATCTCAATAGTCAAGATGTAATTTAAAAATGAAGTATGTTATTAACAACCACCATCTTCAATAAGGTACTACTACACCCATTTGGGGCATAGTACTCACATTGCGGTTTGCTGGAAAAGGCATTTTTGATGTGAAAATTGTTGCCAGTAAATGCTGCCTTGTTGCATGAGTAACTAATCTTCTGTGGTGGTCTTGCATCTGTAAAGTGGATCTGGTCAAAAGCTTTGTTTTACACCAGTAGTCCGGTCTCTCACTGGAGAGCTGTGTGATTCCTTGAGTTTGCTTCAGAACAAGCAGCTGATTTGATTACTCTTAAGCTCTTCTCCTGAGAAATGTATGCAATGCGATACTGAATTCAGATTATTGTTGGGTTTTTTTTTTTCAATTTTGTGAAAATATTTTTGCATTAATGATTTTTTATTTGCTATGTATATTGAAATCTAAGAATATACTCTAACTGTATAGAATATAACTGACAAATATGCTAATAAAGATGCTATTTAAATCCATTTTTTAGTCTTGTATATTTACTTCTTGTTCTGTGTAAGTCATATAGTTAAGAAGAAGCACGTGCCTATTGGCGTTTTATTCTCCATGTTCAGTAATAATTTATTTACAGTTTTAATTTGTTTTGAAATACTGTATTATCCGACTTTGTAGTGAACTTTAAATACACCAATTATTATTTCATCGACTTCTATTTTCAACCAATTAGTAAAAACGCGCTTTCAGAAATAGGTGTCTGAGACCAGCCTGTTTGTCCCATTTCGCTGTCTGTACATGCTGACTAGTGTAGAGGTTAAAGTTGAAACTCACAATACAAGTCAAGCTACCGGTAATTCTGTTTTCGTTGGACGTTCAGTTCACATGGAAAATTGACATCTAAATGGAAGACTGCAATTGATTGTACTCGCTTAAAAATGATTGCCTTTTCAGTTCTGAACATACCTTAGGCATGCACGGTGAGATCAGTGTCAGTTTCTCTGAATTGAACTGAAAACGGCACTGCTCGTCTGCATAATTAAAAGCGATCCTCTGGAACAGTTTTTTCGTGCCGATTTCAACTCCTGCGAGAAATAAAACTCAGACGCGGGTCATAGTTGAACACCGAGATTTGTATCGTTGTCGCCTCTTGCATCTTGCGGAATGGCTTTGCACGACGTGGAAAGCGCAGCCAGCGATGGAGAGGAGCCGGAGGTGGTGGCGCAGGGGGGTGTGCTGGCGGCGTTCAGCGAGGCCGCCGAGACCCGCGGTCTGCTGGGCAGCCTGCCGCAGGTGCAGGGGGACCTGTCCGCCAGAGAGATGACCACTCAGCGCTTCCTGGGTAAGAGCACTGCTCGGCCGGTCCCCGATGCTGCAGCACAGCTGCACTTAACTGTGCTCTTCCATGGCCGGTGATCCTGCAAACAGATGGGTTTGTTGAAATAAAGCGAGTTTTATGACACTGAATGCTTTCTTATCGGTTAACTATACTGGTGTATTCTGTATTCTGAAAAACAACCACATATTGAACCAATTTTTGTGTTTCTTAGTGCAAATTATTATAATTTATGTGTTTACAAGCCAAAGCTTCATATGAAAACTGCAAGAGTGGCTATCAATGATTACAGGATCCAGGATAGAAGGGGCCTATGAAACAGAAGGAGAAAAGCTAAAGACCTCTGTGACAGACGGCAAACAGGGATACAGGGAGCAGGGACACAGACACCGGGACACAGGGAGCAGGAATACAGACACTAACAGATAACAATTATGCTCTTAATTAAATAATTTATCGAGCTCAGGTGTAACAAAAACGAGAAGACACTCAGCCCTCCAGGAACTGAGTCTGCTACCCCTGCTAACATATCCAAGGAATTCAACTAACCAGGATTAAGGCTATTAAATCTTTTGAAATAGTAATGATGTTAAAAGTGTTGTTTAGATGTGCAAGAGGTGTGCAGCCTGTGCTTGCTTGTGTGGATATATCTTTGCACTCGAGGTACAGCTCAAGGATCAGTGGGTCTCATTTAAATAGCAGCACCTCACGGTCTAGGAAAAAGTAGACAAGTAATTCAGGTAATTAAGATCTGTGATGAGAACAAGGACACTTTGTTTGCCTTTGAGGAGCAGGTCTGCAGGACTAAGTAAAGTAATTATTAAATGCTTTCAATAGTTTAAGAATCTACATTTAACCTCACATGTTTACTTTTCTAGTTATAATGGATAAGTACCAGGAACAACCTCATCTCTTGGATCCACATCTAGGTAAGAGTGTTTTTTGTCTTTGACTGTCATTTATAGAAATCAATTATAACATTTTAAGGCTGCTTTATTTAAATACCTGAAATATATTGTTTCTTGTGGTTGTTCACAGTGCTTTACCTGTAATTCCTTAGTTCTTTCATCTTATCCTTTGTTCTTTCGTAGTAGTAGACTAGGTATTTTTTAAAAGTGGAAAATATAGCCTGCATTTTAAAAAGCTATTTAATGTGACACAATTTACACAGGATGCCGTCCAGATCTTATTTGTTAGGATTATTATTCTTTTCAGCTTAATATCTTTCTGTGTAGGTGGTGTCTATATTCATTTTATAAGTTACTTTAACCTTTCTTAAATTATTGTTTGTATTTGTTAATTTTAAACTAGCTGGAGTAAGACTTTTTTGTTATAAAGATTCTTAAATATTTTTTCGACATTGTGCCTTGATAACACAGTGCTTATGCTTGTTTGTTTTTTATCTCAGAGTGGATGTTAGATCTGTTGTTGGAAATGATACAGAGTGAGAAATCTCCTCCAGCCTTGGTGCATCTGGGTTTTAAATTTGTCTACATCATCTCAAAGGTGAGACGTGTCTGCTGCTATCAGCACAGTCTCAGGCAGCTAACAGGGGGAACTGCTGATTTCATGAGTTTGCAGAAATGTAGTTATTTAGTAGTGAAGCCTTGCAAGGATTAGTTTGCTCTTTGTTACAACTAATATTGTCAATAGCTTATCCTTCCTATCCTAATGTCAAAGATGCTGCTTTCATACCAATATTTAAGCATTAGCAGTAAAAACATTCTTGATCATTTACTTAACTAATTATCCTTCTCCTGCACTTTTCAATATTTTTGTAGATTCATCAGAAACCATGGGGTGTACTGTGGATTTTAAAGTATCTTTTATTTTTGTGTTGAAAGTCTTTGCAAATCATAAATGAGATCTGTTTCTGGATAACAGTGCCTGATGCTCCAAAACTTTGTCTTTGCCAGGTGCGCGGTCACAAGATTTTCATGCAGCTCTTTCCTCATGAGGTGTCTGATGTGCAGCCAGTGCTGGACCTCCTCTGCCGCCAGGACCTAAAGGACCATGAAGTGAGCCCTCGTCTTTGGCCTCCTCTGCATTCATTTTAAACCACAGCCAAAGAGCACTTTTAAAAAAAAGTCTGTGTTCATAGTGTAATCCACCATTGACAACATGCAAGGAAATACCACTGCCCCCCTCTGGAACAAGGAGCAGTGACAAGATTGTGAGAAAAAAAATAGAGAAATTATATAACAGAAGAGGCTGTATCACTGGCCATTGTCCTGGTTCACTGGAAGTTCTGTGGAGCAAATCAGATGCAGTGCAGTTCTGTTTTGTAAATTGTTTTGATTGATTGGTATTATGCAGTGTAGGCGCAAGAAAATAAACAGAAGTAGCCCTCTTTTTGCAGTGCAGATATTACTAAATGAGTTCAAATGAGTTGAGTGAAGAGTGACATGCACAGTATAGTTCACAATGATTTCTAGTTTAATGCTGTTTCATACCCTAGTAGTGTATTGTCAGAAGAATTATTAAAGGAGGTAATAATGTGACATTGTCATAATTGCAGTGAGAAAACAAAGCTCTGGCTGTCCAGAGCACAGACTGTTTCTATGCTCAGTGACATCTGTGATGAGTGTCCTTTGTCCTGGTGTTTTGCAGACCTGGGAGACACGCTACATGCTGCTGCTGTGGCTCTCCATGACGTGTCTCATCCCCTTTGACCTCTCTCGTCTGGACGGCCACCTGGCCAGGGAGCCCGGTCTCGGCCGAGTTCCTGTCATGGACCGCATCCTCGCTGTGGCCAAGGTAGACTGACAGTTTTATTCCTCTGCTTTACTTTGGGATCTTGTGCTGTTCATTTCATAGAGCTCACAGCTGAGTGCTTGCTTGAGGTTTTTTTTTTGTTTCAGTTATACCTGACAGTCAGTGACAAGGGAAGAGATGCTGCAGCTGTTCTTGTGTCAAAGTAAGTCCTTCTGGCTCATTTCTATATACATATTTTTAAAAGGCACCATTTAAAAAAAAAAAAAGAACCATTTTCATCTAGTACACCAGTAAGTACTCTCTCCACATAGCCTGATAAAGTCAATCATTTACAGTTTATTCTTGGTTAGTATGAACATTTCTAGTTGACACAAAGACTAACAAACTCCGACTTCAATTTTAAACCATTGTTCCATTAGTTTGTACTTCAGATTCTACCTTAATTATTACCCTTGTATAATGTATCATATCTGACCTGACCAGCAGAGGGCAGGATGGCATTTGGAATGGAGCTCAGAGTGTCACTGATATTCACCCCTGGTCCTCATGTCTAGTTTTCATTTCATCTAGTGCTCTTAATTATTTTATTTAGCTCAATTGTTTACTTAATTGGTTACATTTTATTACTGTTTCCTTGTCTTTGCTCATTGTGTATTTATAAGTTACAGGTTTATAAGTTTTTTAGTTAAGATCATTATTAAGCATGGGATGATTTTGAGCTCTTTGAAAGGCTTGTAATAGAATATGATTGGTCTTTTAAATGGATACTTTGACAAGGATTACATAAAATGTCTCTGACAGGACAGTATTTACAGGTTTTTGCATCGGCTACAACAATCTCTACCCATATGGTTTTGGTGCAAAAAATGCAATAATTGTATTTCTCTTTATTGGTGCTATGTTTTGAATCTCTGAACGTTTACAGTGACTTTCAGAACATGATTGATGAGCCAGGGGGTGTGAATGTTTATGCACATGGAGCTCTGGTGTGTGCAGGTTTCTGCTGGGCCTGCAGTGTCACATCAAGATGCTCTTCCTGCAGGTTCGTGGTTCGCCCTGATGTCAAGCAGAAGCATCTGGCCACCTTCCTTGACTGGAGCCTGTCCTGCATGGCCCAAACCAGTGAGCTGACGATGGAGGGCACAGTGGTGCTGGACGGCATGCTGCAGGCTCTGGTACAGTCACCTCCACATCCGCTCAGCTGCTCACTGAACACTTCTTAAAGCAAGGCTTACCAACAGCTCTGTTTCTATCAACTTTAATGTGCTTAATATTTTTCTGTAGTGTAACTGTTAATATTAGGTTTCAGAGCAGGTTTACACAAAGGTCAGTTTTTCCAAATCACTTATCCAGGAAGAGTCCCGTGAATTAAGCGGTCCAGTAAAACTGTATTGATTTCATACTAGATCTTGTTTAGAAATTGATTTCCTGAAATGTAAGTATGGGGATTGGCATAGAATAATTCATCTGGTCTATCTGATCCACTACAGTAAACAAATGTGACTTTTGGATAATGTTTGAGAAGCTTTGCCATATCTAATCACAAATAAGAGAAGGCCATTCAACCACTGGTGAATATTGTGATTCTTAATAATCAGTATCAGATTATGAGGAATATGATAAATCAGGTAACTAACTTAGTAAAGCAGACAGTTAGCCCTGGTATCATTAGCATTTTTGGGTTTATAAATATAAAAGTCTTTCCAAACTTATTTTGATTGTGAAAGGGTGTAAGATACATCAGTTGTGTAGTGTAATTTAACTTAATAATAATAGCTTACACTTATATAGCGCTTTTCTGGACACTCCACTCAAAGCGCTTTACAGGTAATGGGGTCTCCCCTCCACCACCACCAATGTGCAGCCCCACCTGGATGATGCGACGGCAGCCATAGTGCGCCAGAATGCTCACCACACATCAGCTATCAGTGGGGAGGAGAACAGAGTAATGCCAATTCATAGATGGGGATTATTAGGAGGCCATGATTGGTAAAGGCCAATGGGAAATTTGGCCAGGACACCAGGGTTACACCCCTACTCTTTTCGAGAAACGCCCTGGGATTATGATCATAGAGAGTCAGGACCTCGGTTTTACATCTCATCCCAAGGACGGATCTTGGAGGTCCTTTGTGGTTTCTCACTTTCTGTTTCGGTGCACAAGGCCCAGCCCACTCAGCAGACGTTGCTCAGTTGTGTTGGCTGTTCATGCTCTTTCCTGCCCTGCAGTAAGAACAGGGCTTCTTCCCCAGCATTTTCGGATTCCAGCCGCAGTTAAGGATGAGGTTTCATTCTGAATGTTTCAGACTCTGTTAAATGGCTGGTTCACTCCTGTGTAGGACAACCCTTTCACTGTAGGTGAAAGGTGCATCTCCAAATGCCTGTGAATTCCAAGAATACCTGGTGTGCAAACAAGAACCATGTTTTATTTTTTCAGTCTTCAAGCCACATTATTAATGATAATCTGTGGTGACTTAGGAACCGCAGCCATTGTATTCTGAAACAGTCATCTTGGCATGGTTGCATCCAGCCATAGACAGTAGACTTTTGTGTAGGTCCTAGGCTGGCACTGAGTGGCGTTTTATCAGATATAAACAAATGTAGAGTTTTGGTTCCACCGTCAAACATATAGAGATTCTAGGTTTAGTCCTTAGTTAAGATGTGCATTTTGTTATTGCAGTTCATTCTTGTTAATTATTGTACAGCTTGCGATTTACAAAATTTTAGACATACTGTTAGATAATTTTATTTTTTGGGGGACCTACTCTAATTCTTTAATTCATTTACGAGATGTAACCTCTGATGTGATTGCCAGAAGTTATATTCTTTGCTGAGAAGTCAATAGTATGTCTGGATCTGAAGACATGTCATCACAAGCCAAGATGTAAATCAAGTAACAGTTTTAGCCTGTAGCGAAGTTTTGGGTGCACCTGAAAGAGCTTTGTGTACAAGATGTAGTTTATTAATGGCGTTCCCAGACAGCGAGTCTCAGCGTGCAAGCTGTAAGTACTTAGCTTGGCTGGGGTTTGTGCACCTGTTAGATCATCATGAGTGACAACAGGTGAACCGTCAGCAGGTAGAGTCTCAGTAAACTGTTGGAAGCACTAAAACATGGTAGCTTGTCAGAAAACCTATTTCGTACCATGCTGGGGGAACATGCTAGTGTTTTTCAGACCAGTTTTACATTTATGTATAAAAACAAAGTACCATGTAAGGGCATAGGACTGGGTGGTAAACTGGTATGCCTTTCAGAAAGAGAGGCAGCTTGACAGATTTATGTTACTATTTTAGCTTTCTACTATTTTTAATTTGTTGCATTTACTTTTTTTTTTTATTTGCTTCCTTTTGTAAGAGCACTGAAAGCCCTTATCAACTTGTTAGACTTGAACGGTGAGTGTTTTGAGCAGTGATTTTGTGTCTCCATGCCTTGCATCTACAGATTTTTATTGAAGCTTGTAATTAAGCAGGATGACTGTCCTGTGGTGGCGCCGCAGGGCATGGCGCTCCCCTGGATAGCGTGACAGTGATGCTATCACCAAGGCTGCCTATAGCCTTCAGACCTCACAGGCTTCCTCATAGTACCGGTTTCAGAGCAGTCTGTCAGGTCTGATCAACAAAAGGTTGTATTGTGTAATTTACTTGTTTTTTAAAGGGGAAACTAGAAAAGTTAGAGATCCTAAGCACTTTATTTTGTGGGGCAGGATCCTCTGTTAGAATTTGCTCAAGGAAACTTAAAGTTGGTATGTTTTGTGTTTTATAAGAGCCTCAGGCATCAACCCTGGCTGTGTATAATAACATTGCCTCAGCAGCTTCATGTTTGTCATTGTCACAAGTCAGTACACTGTTAAAGACGGAACTGTGTCCTGTCTGAGCTGAGGTCTGGCATTAAATGGTTTCAGACAATCCATCCCATTGAAGTATTGAAGTGAATGTAAATCTGCTGCTAATTTCAGATCAACCCTCCTGGAGGCTCAGTAATTTTGGGTGATATGCAGTGATCTTTATAGAAGGAATGTAGAGATGTTATTCTACACCTGCCTTATTGAGAGAGAATCGTTTATCACAACCTGGTTACTTGTCAAAGTTCTAGAGAGCTGTTTTTGAAGTAAAAATTAATTGTATGAGTATTGAATTCTTTCTCAGATTTTCCCAGCAATAGTTATGTTGTCTTAAAGGTTGACAGTGAGATCTCCAGTTGAAAGTTCAGTGTCATTTATACCAACAGGACTGTTGTGTTTGTCCTGCAGACTTGCAGCACAAGAGTGGTCTGACAGCCCGAGGATCAATCCTACCTGCACCTCCTCAGCCATAGGCCCCAGACTCCACTAATCCAGTGTGCACGATCTGTGTTAAGAACTCATCTTCATTTTGACCTTTTGATTTACACCGAAATACAAAATTGTCCTATTGTTTTTTTAATTGAATACTTATCCTATTCTGAGGAGAAATGTGGAAATTATACTCACGGGACAGCTTGACTTGATATCATCTCAACTAATCACTCTTATCTTCCTGTTAAATAAATAAAACAAAAAATTATGTCTATTAATCTTGGTTAATCATTATTTGTGATGTCTAACAGCAGCAAGATGTGACTTCACCAGTCTAGAAGAGACAGAGGCAGCTGTTGTGAAGAGTTACAGTTCAGCATAGTGGTGGCATGCCCAGACTGGAGAGCGGTTCTCTCAATTCAAGTCAGACTGGATTGTGAAGAGAGGTTTCATGCTGTCTGATTCACCTTAAATTTGGTTTTGAGCATGTCGTGAACTGTGGGTCTCGGAAACTGGAATTAATAATTTGATTGTCACCTTTCACTCCCATCCTTCCAATAGTAACTGTGGAAATGGTTATACCAGTTTTCAAACCCTGAAGATACATTAACCTGAAATCTTACCAGGAAAACTACTGCTTTTTTTACTTAAATGTCCTTTATAATGGTGCGTAACAGTTTTTAAATGAAATGAAAATTAACATTATAGTACAACTTTTTAGATTTTCTAGTCTTCAAAAGAGAGTGCATCTTGCAGCCCTTGAACCATTTTGTGTTTTACAGGCCCAGCTCTTCAAGCATGGGAAGAGAGATGATTTCTTGCAGTATGGTAGGTATTTTCTTTATTGCCATACCTTTGGATCTACTTACCCCTTGGTCGGAGTGAGTTCAGCTGTGTGGCTTGAAATGATTTGAGATGAGATGCTGCTCTGCAGTGACGCAGGTGTCGCTCATCTTCTGTCTTTTCCACAGCCCCCACAGTGCTGCAGTGCATTGACAGCTGCAGGCTGGCGGAGAGCAAGCAGACCACGCTGCGCAAACTGGGGGTCAAGCTCATCCAGCGGCTGGGGCTGACGCTCCTGAAGCCCCGAGTGGCCAAGTGGAGGTGCGTCAGGTCTCACTTAGAGATCGACCCCCAGAGTTCATAGGCAAATATCGGGCTTTTGACAACATGCAAGGAGCAACCCCTAAATATGATTTCCCAGCTGATTGTGTTAAAAGGGAATTGAACAATTTAGCAAGCTACAATTTTCCATTATTATATTGTTGCTTTTATTTCTGCTAAGCTTTTAAGAATAGTGTAGTTGTAGTTTAGGTGTCTTCAGTTTTATTAACAATCTAGTTTCTGTCGTACGTTTTTGGAAGATATTAAAAGTTATGCTGGATGCTCTTTAGCTAGCTACTACACAAGTCCTTCTCATCAAAAGAAGATATCAGGCATATGCACGTGCCATTAGTTAACCTTTTCACCGTACTGGTTGTGGTTCAGACCAATGATCTGATAGTACGGCTAAAATAAGTGTGTGTCTCTCTCAATATTTTGATGACATAATACCAATTCAGATTTAAATTGCTTTACAGTTTGTGCTACTACTAAATATCTAGCAGTTAAAACCCACACTGTGCAGATAAAAGGACTGAGAGTCGGTGTCTCTACCAGAAAGAGAATAACATACCACACGGCTCCCCAGCTGCTGTTATGATTTCCCTGATGGAAGTTTTTTCAGGAACAGGCCAGTGTTGCTGGAGGAAAGGATTAGAGCAGATCATCAGTGACCTTATCTGTGTACGTTTCTCACAGGGGAGGGTCGTATATAGTAATAATAAAGCAACATGTGTGCAGCTCTGTGAATGTTTGATGATGGTGGAAATACTGGTTTGTATTGCACTAAGGTGTTTCTGTACAGTAAGCAGACATACAGTACTTTACTTGGCAGTTGTAGCTCTGGAAATAACTTTAAAAGAGTGTAAGATCTACTCTTTGGGCACAGGTGAAGAATCAAAACTCCCTGTGTTATTTCACAGAGAACTGTGTGGTAACCTACAGAGGTATTCAACCAAACAAAAAGCAGCTTGTTATCAGTTTTAACATAGCATGACAGAGTTCTTATTAATAATTCTATTAATTCCCTGCATTGATATAGAGCTTTTCATCCTGATGGATCTCAGAGTTATTTACATTGAGGAGGTGGCCCACTTTACCCACTGCTGAAATGCTGCCCCATGTGGGGGCCGTGTGCCTGCATGACATGCAGTCCATCCTCCTGCATTAGGAATTTGTCTTTTCACATACCCCAGCTTGTTCTCCATGAGACACACAGGCACACAGACGGGGAGAGAGGAGCTTGGGATCAGAGCGCGGGGTCAGCCATTTATACGGTGGCCCTGGAGCAGTTGGGGTTAAGGGCCTTGCTCAGGGGCCCAACGGAGTAGGATTTCTTGCCGTGCTTGCCGTGGGATACAAACTGGCAACCTTCCAGCCACAGGTGCAGATCCTTATCCACAGTGCCACTGCTCCGCTCCAGTAATGGTCTTTTTCCACATAGGTACCAGCGTGGAAGCCGGTCCTTGGCAGCCAACCTGTCCCAGTCCACACAGCCCTCCAGTCCAGCAGAGCCCAGCACTGCTCCCATGGAGGAGGAGGACTACGATGTTCCTGAGGAGATTGAGAACATCATAGGTCAGCACAGCCTCCCTGCGCATCACTCACTTAGAAGCAGGAGACCTTCGTTGTGCTTCTTTACATACACTTTCAGTGAAGGATGCACTGCAGAGCTGTTAGCAAACACTCTTTATGGAACAGAACTGCAGTTATTAATCAGGTTCAGGTGGGGAGCTGCGTCAGTGTTCATTGACTGAAGCAGAAGAAGTGCAGTGTTTCAGCAACTGAGCTTTCTTCAGGATACCTGAGAAACACGTCATCACTTCTGATTTTGAGTATGGAAACCTTTATTTGTTCCTTTGCTCTTTATTAATAGTCCTTTTAGTACAGGCTTTGACTGCTCTTAGTCAAGTTGGTAGCGATATTTCCTCCATTGCTTATTAACATCAGCAGGTATTATCATGAAGGAATGCTTGTTCCTTTAGTCTGGTCTACTTTTGGGTTTTTTTTTATTTCAAATAACCTACACTCACTACTGCAAACTGACAAACAGACTGTGCTTTGTGCTGCAGAAGAAGATATCTTTTAATATGGGTGATGACAGACTCTTCCACTTTGTTATTCCTCAAATTAATTCAAGGTATTAATTGCCTAATATTTGTACCTTTGACAAAGTTACAGTGGTAGAAATTACATTTGTTTTTCTCAACACTTGCAATATTCCTCATCTGTATGAGAGCTCCAGTGTTTATGTATAGTATTGAGAGTGTACTTCACGTTGGAAGTTGTTATGCTGAAACTGACCTGTAAATGTAATAGCATTTGTTCATTTCTTGCCGTTTAGCATATTCATTCTTCATTCTTTCTTATTGTAGAACAACTTCTGGTTGGATTGAAAGACAAAGATACTATAGTTCGCTGGTCTGCTGCCAAGGGGTGAGTGTCTCTAGCCTTTCCACAGAGAGCACACATACAAAAATGGTTATGGTTTCATTTGAGGTCTTACATTTACAAACGTTAGTGTAAACTATTTATTTACTTTCCCATCATCTATTTTTCTATTTTATAAGATGAAAATCAAAATAATTTCCTGTGAAACAAGTGATTTCTAGTGTACAGTATTGAGAGCAGTAACTACCTTGACAAAAAATGTGAAAGGGACTAGGGAACTTTTCAGTTTTAACTGATAGTGGAGTTACTTTGTCTTGATTACTGGAATGGAAGCTTGATCAAGCAGTTTCTGTCACATAAACAGATGCAAAACAGCTGTATTCCCCCCTGTCTTTCTGCAGCATTGGGAGGGTGACGGGAAGACTTCCAAAAGAACTTGCGGATGAAGTGGTCGGTTCAGTTCTTGATTGCTTCAGGTATGTTTTGTTTTAGATGAAGCCTGGCTAGACTAGAGGTTTGCATTTGTTCTACAAAATGTTTACAGTAACAGATAAGTCAGGAGTAAGCATGCTAGCTATGTGAACTGCCCCAAACCCTGAAAAGCACCTGTGCAATAGAAGGCTAATGCACCAAAACACAATCCAGAATAATATTGCTCTAGAGCAGTATTTCTCAACAAACAGCTAAATCATTAATTAAATCATACTTTTCAATAAATGTAGAAAATGTTTCAGCAACCCTCTTAACATGCTTCTTTTCACTTTGTAAAATATTAATATTAATACTGTTGTTTTTCTTATTCTTATTATTACATTGTTATTTATTAAAAGGACTATTTAACAACTCAAAACAAGCATTTAAAGCTCACTCAATGGCTCATTTGCACTGGCATAGACCTACCTTTTTAATGGGACATCTGTGAGTCTTGCACAGATCATCAATCCTGGGGACAATCTTTGACAGACATACTCTCATCTCATCTTTCACATCAAGCTTTGATCTCTGCTTTTTTATTGCTCCCAGTACCGAACATCCACACTCTCATAAGTATGTGGTTGCAAACGGTAAAATAATTTTCAAGGCTTTTTGTGTGAGCTCAGGGTACGTGAATGAAACAGCAGTGCCCAACCAAAATGATGTTAAGTCACGTCCACAGCTCCGGTAGGTCTGATGCAAAAAAACGTCCTTACTGAGATCAATCAGTTAACCCTCCTCCGTCACAGTTAAACTGTGGGACGTGTTTGTGTTGAATGCCTTTAAAAGGCCTTCTTCTGGTGATTTTCTTTTATTAACAATGAATCTGTCCATTTTGATACACATGATTACGTATGATTAAGACGCGCTAACAACATATGATCACATGGCATTCAACAAATAGGCTAATTCTATCAGCTTATTCTGTCTTTGATTTTGCATATAAAGTCACGGTAAAGTGTTACATTTGATTGTTTAATGTAATGGATTTTAATTTAAAAAAAATGTTTTTAATTGAATTTAATTTGACATTGACATTTCCATCACGATCTCACGAACCCCCTGCAGTACCATCACGAACCCCTAGGGGTTCATGAACCCCTGCTCTAGAGCAATACTTCTTAGTGACAATTCCATGGCAACCTTCTTGCTGGTGTGGTCATTCTTTTCAGTATTTTTTATGAATAAGATTTAATAAAATCCCACTCCCTGTCGTAGTTTACGTTCTGCTCCATTAAATCCATTGCGGACGTAACTGTTAAAAGTAGTGTATCCACTTTATTATGTGGAACATTGTGTACATTTCCTTGTACCATGCGCTGGTGACGTGATCTTGTGTGTGTTCTCGCAGCGCTGGGACCCTGGGTTCAATACCTGAGGTCCTGGCTGTGTGGAGTTTGTACATTCGGCCCGTGTTCATGTGGGTTTTCATCGCCTGCTCACGTTTCCTCCTCCAGCCTAAAGACGGGGAGAAGGTCTGTCTCCCCTGTGACCCTGAATTGGTTAGAGTGGTTAGAAATGGATGGATAGATGCATAGAGAGCCTCTAGAATGATTTTGGAATACGTAGGCCAAATGGCCACATTGTGTTTGTAACTTTATTTCTGTCCGCCTATCCGTCTGGCCCACTGATACCGACACAGAACATACTGCAAACATAAGCAATGTCCGAATTCTCCCCGGGAAAGCAAAAAGAAAACGCGTCCAGTGGCTCAGGTGTAAAGAAGGCTAAAAAGGCTCAAACGTGAAGAAGCTCTACAGCCAAAACCTTTTTCATGTGTTATTGTATAGTTAATCTCTGCTCGAATCTATGTCTTTATGGAGTATTCTTTCAAGATGTTGTAAATCCCCTTTTGTTAAAGTAAAAGTAAAATATTGATTTAATAAAATCTGGGTGATGCTAAATTTTTGCATTATTTTGTTTACTTGACATCATTAGTAGTGAGGTATTATAGAGACACATAGAATCTACCTTTTTAGCACACCATTTTATTCAGGTATGTGACATATTTTGCCTCACATATGCTATGTGTAACAATGTGTATAGATTATCAGTTTACATCATTAGATGTTAGTAATTATTTTGGTTGGCATGTAACGTGCAACAGACAAAATTACTCTAAAGTAGGGTTATCAAACAGTTTTTAAAAAATCAGTAAATTAAACTGATCTGTTGTCAGTACCCCATGGAAACAAGTTAGACCACTGACCTTGTTGCATTGTTATGTACTGAACAGAGTGAGTTGTTCCATAGAACAATTTCATGTAAAGCCTTTAAACTATACAAGTAGGTCCAATAGTTAAAACGGTGTACAGTATGCACAAAGCTAACACTAACAGGAGAAAATGGCCTGAACTGCTCAAACAGTCCGCAGTAGTTTAGGAACCCTGTGAAAAGGCTGTGGCATCACACAGATTGAGACACTGGTCAAGAGTTGTGCTCTTCTCTAGGGGACTGTTTGTTTGCAGAAAGTACAGACTTAAAAGAACAGCATCACAGAGGTGGATATGAGATGGCTAGGGAGAGTAATCTGCTGTGTGTCGAGGCTCAGGCGATCTGTCTCTGCAGTTTCCAGGAGACTGACAATGCCTGGCATGGGGGGTGCCTGGCCCTGGCGGAGCTGGGCAGGAGAGGACTGCTGCTCCCATCGCGGCTCACAGACGGTACGTCTCGCCGTCAGACCTGTGCTGGTCTGTTTTACTGGCTGTCATTTTGAAGTGCTAGGTGTGCATGTGATGTACTTTTGTTTAAAAGAAGAATAAATGAAAATCTGTTTTCAAGTTTATGGACATATACATCTGCAGTAGAATATTGCGTATCTAAATCGTCATCGCTCTGCTAAACGCTACAGTGACCTCACTTTACTCCTTTCATCAAATCAGCTCATGCAGTGGCTGCCGAGGCTTTTCTTGCTCAGTGTAAGCTGTAAGCTGCACCATTGTTAGCAGGTTTATACTGCAGAAGGCTGCTCGGTGGAGCCTCTGCTTGTCTCATTAGCAGTGTTTCCTGACACATGCGTTTTGAGAACGTAACAAAGGAAACCCAGAATAAGAACCTATTTCTTTTTTTATTTCATACATATTTCTTTCTGTACAATTTATGTTCTAAAGTTAATTCAAGAAAACTGAAAATGTTTTTGTTTTTCATCCTTTATTTTTCATTTTTATATTCACATTTTATTTACAGTTTTCCACCACCTAGTGCTTTACCCTTGGCAGAAATAAATATGTTTTGTATTGTAGCTTAAATAACAGTCCTTGAATGACATCTGTCCCTGACAGCGAAACTAGTAAAGGCAAGAACAGTCCACTGTCCTTGTCGGCACAGAGTTTTGTTCAAAGGCCCCACTTGTGTAAGAACAATCATGTGGGTTACCTCAAAGCTGTGTTTGCTGTATTTAGATTTAATTGCAATACCTTTAAAGAAATCAAATGAAATCTAAATGCATGTATTAAATTTACTTATAAACAGAAATTCGATGTTGCAATTGATTTTTTTTAACATCAAAAATGCGAAAAAGCTTGTCTTTGGCTAAGGATCATTTAAACATTGTGTATCTTATTTCTTTCATTTTGTATTTTTAAAACATTACATGTGTCATGTGGCCTGGTTTATTTTATTTTTTTGGGTGCTTAGACTGTTACAGTTGCTTGTACTGAGTTTTAAGTACCAATTTTAAAGATGGAAAAATGAAGACCTTAATTTGATACAATACAAATAAGAGTCAATAAGAGTTGTACAATAATTTTAACTATGTTTATAAGTTTTGAGTTGTATATGAAAAGGGGGACAACAACAAAATAAAATTTAAAGCAGTATGTTAAAAACAAATAAACAATTCAGTCAAAACACACCAGGTAATTGCTCTTCATGAGCAGCGTGGTCTCTTCCTCAGGGTCCTATTGGTCTCAGTCTTGGATTTCTTAGTGCTCTGTGGAAATGTGCAGGGTTCCTCACAGCTGGGTCTTTTCTGGCCTTTGTCTGAGGACCTGTGTACCACTGTCTGTGCATCTGGGGTCCCAGAGGGCGGCAGAGAGTTCCCACATTGAGCTACTTTGTTCCCAGGATTCCCCTGAGGAAGAGATGGGGCTGGCTCTGGGTTCACAGTGCGGGTGCTGGAGCTGGCCAGCTGGCAGAGTGCGAAGGCTGCAGTCTGCTTCTGCTCATCGATGCTCTCCAGCTGGGGGGAGGATGGGGCGTACTGCCCACCTGACCCCCTCTCCATCTGCACCGGTGTTGGGCTGTGTGGGGGAGCTTCCAGGGAGCAGGATGCTGGGCTGGGAGGTTTAGACTGGCTGGCACAAGCCCTCAAAGAGAGGTTCAAAGGCATGTCCTGCATGTCGTGCTTATCCCCTGTCCCTGGAGAGCTCCCCCTGCTGACTGGAAGGGTTATAACGTGTTCCCCCTCCACAACATGATGCTTCTTGGAAAGATTCAGAGGAACCTCATCTTCTTCCTCAGTCTCTGATGTCCCCTGCGAGCTGCAGGGATCAAATGTATTTGATGCCTGTCCTCGGCTTTCTGCAGAGCTGTAAGCAGAAGAAGAATAGAAAAGGTGTTGGTTTTCATTGCCTTCATTACAGAACTTATTTTCAAAGCCCTGAAAAAAATATGAATAAAGCCCTGATTTGGTATTTCTTAAAGAAGCTTAATTTTGTAGTTGTCTAAAGATGTATTTTAATATTTTTTTGCTTAATATTCCTGGCGGTTTTGTTAAAATATTCTGCAAAATTAAAGCCATAACCCATATTAAGATACAAACATTTCAAGTAACTGACCCTTTTCCAATTATAAATTTTAAACCTTTTTCCAATATCAGGCCGTTGTGTGCACATGTGACAAGGTTTTTGTGGGCAACAGTTTGCAGTTACCTTTCTGCTGGCCGCCTGGTGTCTTTCTGCGAAGCTGCAGGAGGAGGACTCGGTGGGTCTGCTATCCTCTTGAGAGCGAGGCTGTCTCCTGGTAGGTGGGAGTGAGGCCTGCCTGACTCGAAGGCGGGGTGGTGGCTGTCAGAAACGGGGTCGTTCTGAGTGAACCCGGTGGGGCTGGGCCTGTCTGGGGAGCCTGAAGCAGCACAGCCCGCTCTGGGGCTCATTTTCATCTCGCTCTCTGCCCCCTGCTCCTGGCTTCCTGTGGCTGAGCTCCCAGCAGGCCTGGGGAAGTCTTTGGCATGTTTGCTGTGAGTGTCAGTTGTGGCCGGGCTCCGCGAGCCAGGGTATCGGTTGCACTCCCCTGCTCCCACGTCTCTGCCATACCCTTCTACCGGGAGAAGGGACTTTGTGGGAAAGTCCTGAAACGAGGGCTCATGGGTGTGTGGAGGCCGATACATTCCATAGTGGATGGGGGGAGCCTGGTGGACAGACTGGTAGAGCCTGTAGGGATTCTCCAGGGCAGAAGGAGGCAAAGGGCTTGGGAGTGGGATCGTTGGGGCTGGAAACACATGGGGAAACATGGACCTCTGAGGGTCTATGAAGTAAGAGGGAAAGGGGGTGCCTTCATGCTCGTGGGGATTTCCAGGGATTAGATATGGCTGGTAGATCGCTGTCATGGGATGTTCTGCAAAGATGTAGGGGGTGTATTCAGGCATCACAGCCGACGGGTAGTTGGTAGGGCCGACGACTTTGCCAGGTGATGATTTGTGAGAAAACTCTGGTGGGACAAATCCTGGGGTAGCTCTCCAAGCGGCACTGGGATGATAATATGTAGGTTTGAAGGAGAGAGCCGGAGCAGGTCCCTCTGGTTTGTGGAAGGGCGGCATGTCTCTGTTGTCTGTCCTGTCAACTGGCCGGTGGGCTGCGATGGGAACAAAGGCGGAGGGCCTCGGTATGGGCTCGGGCTGCTTGTCCATTCTGCTCTCTGGCAGCCGTACCTTCAGATCTCTCTGCAGGGACCCTGTGGGGCTCTGAGACCCCCTTCTTCTCTGACTCTGAGCTTCCTCTTCCGGCTCCTCCGTGATTCTCTGCTCAGGTAGAGCATCGTCCTTTGCGGACACGCTTTCTTCAGCTGCCGGGATCGAGTGTTTGTCCGTGGGCTCGGCTGACACCCTGAGGGAGGGGTCTGCGGCAGCTGGCTTTGCCGGCTTCCCAGAACGGTCCTGCTCTGACACCAGGGTTATGGAGTTTCTGCACAGGTTGTACTTCATGTGGTTAAATAAATGAGATTTTTCATTGCAGGTGAAGGGACACTGGAAGCAGTGGTACTTGAATGGTTTACCTGGAGGTCTTGGGATATAGTGAGGCTTCTTAGGCTTGCGTTCTTTTGTGCTGCTCATATTGCTGGAAGGGCTGCAGGACTGCTGTCCTGTCCTTGGTCTTCTGCCGCTGCTCCTGTGCGTCGGTTTGAGCTTCCTTTGCTGAAGGATGAAGCCAGTCGGATGGGATTTTATCCCGCTTCTGAGTGTTTACAGATAAGCAAGTCTTCACTGGAGCTCAGGGCCTCTGAAACAAAACATGTTTAATGTTAGTGAGGCAAGCTGGGAGAATTGCGGAATTTATGTACAATACTACATATATGCAATGTTATTTTAAATAAGCATATGAGGATTTTGTGCTTTATCGTATAAATAAATGGTATCCTCTCTTTTTCTCATCACCTTTGTGGTATTGTTTTTGATGGCCAGTATTTAGACTGATACCACTATATCAATATTAATTTGAGCTGCCTGAATAGGCCTCTGCACCGTTCTTGTGGGTAGTTCTCTTTTTAATGGTTTTCCTGGGGAAGGGAGTAAAATGCCATTGTGAACCTCCCATGCTATTAATAAGGGTGTTAAAGTACAACTCAGACCTTTCTTAGGTAAATCTCTGTATCCGCAGGTGAATTTTATTACCAAATAGCTTTCTGTGGTTCAGCTGCCTTGTCTGAGGGCCAAAGAAGATCATTTTATTTAGAAACAGAAGTGTTTTGCCGAGTAAGTGGCACAGGCCTGTAGCAACATGTCTCACTGATACAAACCTCTTCTGGAGGCGTGAGAATCTCCTGCAGCCTGTTTCTCATGACTTCACCTGCAGGATGTTTGACACAGACCAAAACCTGATGATTTCATCCTTTATCAAAACTAGAAAGTCTGTCCAATCATGGCTTCATATCACAAAACTGTAAATGAGTTTCTGTTGAGAAGGTAATAGCTGCTTTCTAACAGTGTGCTTAGGATGAAATGACTATGGTAATTAATGTAGAAAAAAAATAATCCCTTGAGTGAAGGCATTGGTTTTACTCAGGTGGTCTGTTGAGAAATTTTAAACCTAAAAAGGATTTGAGACAAATGATCCTGTTGATAGGATACTGTGCAATATGTCATTGACTCTGTCACCGGCTGAAAGGGAAGAGGCTTTTCACTGTGCAGTAACACTTTTGCTATCCATAATTATTACCTAAAATAGTAAACTGCCAGTGTGTTGCTTCATGAACATTCTGTGGTAGCAATTAGCTAACATTTTACTAATTTGTAATCTTGATTAGAGCATAACCTAATAATTTCAAAAGGAAATGTGTATTCAAAGTAAGAGCTGGATGTGTATCTCGTTTAAATTGTGTTGCTTTATCTAGGAGGCTTTGTGTTGGGTGGTCGTGCACTCTCCTGCCCCAGACCTGACTAAGGCTGGGGCGGATGGATGGGCCGGTATATACCAGCATGTTAACCACTTATTTTGTCACAAATCAGATGCGATTTTAATAGACGTAAATTAAACTGTTTTGACAGTAGCTTAATATCCAGTCAGGATACCTAAGAATTTCTATTTGTAAACTTCTTACTGATCAAATTTAAAAAGTCTTTTGGAAATAATTTAGGGTTATTGTGTTGCTTTCAATTTTTTTTAGGCGTGAAGGCACTTTACTGCATTGACTGAGATCACAGTTATTTAATAATATGGGGAAGTTACAGCTGACTATTCTCCTGTTGTTAAGGATGAGTTACTTGTGGATAATTGTTCCTTGATCCAAAGGGCTATCGTTTAGATTTCACTGTTAGATTTTCCAGTCATGGTGAAAATGAGTTTTTGAATATTTTGTCAACTTCTGTCCAGGTTGAGATGAAGAAATGACTGTTTAGGACTTAGAGTATCTAATTGCAGATTATGTAATTGTCCCTCTAAATAAAAATAGCAGGTGTTAGATAATGCATTGCCTATAGAATAATGGATATTTATTTCAAGCTATAGTTTTTACCCAGACTGATATTTATTCACTTTAACATTGTCTAGACATAGTTCAGAAAATTCAACAAAGACTTACAGTATTTGCGGATTTCCAGAACAGGCTTTCACCCTGACATTTTTTAAACGTTTCGTCATTCTGTTTTTTTTTTTGTTCTTAAACTTTTTTGTGCAAAAAAGATAATTTATTCTGAGTAATATATTTAATTCAGTAATGCAGTAAAGTTTTTTAAAAAATAAATTCAATGCATTAACATGAATGATAAGTGAGTAATCTGCTCTTTTTATCGTGTTATCCAGATGTTCAAAAGCATCAATTGCTTCAGTTAGAATGTGTGTGAAGCAGGCAGAATGTAACCTGGGCGGCTTTCCTGCCTCTGTCCCTTGAAGGCTGCCTGTCGGTGGCTGAGTTTCGATGCGCCACCCAAGGAACGGCTCTGACGCAGTGTCGCAAGAAGCTGACACTCCAGTTTTTCAGACACAGGATTACTTACCACTCCCACTATGGGTTTGAGTGTCTTAAACAAAAGTCTGACAAACTTAAATCTCGGGGGGAGCCGTTCCAGGGGAAAGGGCCACAGATCTGTGGTTCGTGCCCTGTGTCCTGGAGCAGGGCTGTGGGGGTGGGAGGCAGCGGCAGTGGTGGCTGGCTACAGTGTTCAGCTACAACTCCACAGCACTGTGTGCGGTAGCGCAGTTTCTCACTCTGCTCTCCTAACTTGTTCATCGTTAATAAAAAGGTTGTTTCATATTAGTTTTAAAGCACGTCAGACCCTTAAAAACCTAATTTATTTATTATGTTTGAAATGTGTATATATATATGGATATATCTGAAGATGGCTCCACATCTGAAACATTGTGTTTCTTTTCTTCTCTTTTCAGCATGGAATAAACACCTACTTGTTCCTATACAGTATATATTAATATTCATTATATATATATTTGGTCATATATCATTTATTTCATAGGAAAAAGAAAATCGTCAATTTCAGAAGCAGTTTGTGTCATGCTGAGAGTATATTAGTCTTAGTGGCTGTCTCAGTGGCCTTTGTTTTGGTTTTGTTTGTGTTAGTTTGTCAGCAGAGACAAAGGCAGGGTGAGAGCTGCTCAGCAAGTGCAGTAACAGGTGCACAGCACAGTCCTGGCCACCGCAGCTCAGGAGAACCACACAGCTGTTTTACAGTTAAAACAGGCGTACTGTCCAGCTTTATCTGTATGGCTACACATTTCATTAGGTAAAGACAATACTTACAAAAGTAAACTGCTGCTTTGTCTTTGGTGCTGTGGACTGATTGGTCTGATTCTGTTTGAACTGTCCTTGAAGTGTTCGCTGTCTGTTCTGTCAATAAGACAAGCATATTGTACACATTGCACTCTTCTGAGAGGTCTAATTTCTTAAAATCGTCAAGAAAACTAAAAACAGACATTAATTTTCAATTAAACTTTTTTAAATACCTTTTCCCGTTTACCTTATTTTTTCAGGGACCATAACTTTGAATGCGGTAATTGCAGTATTTAGTTAAAGAAATTTTGTATCCATTTTTAAAATTTGAAATTAAGCCTTTCTTCTTATTTTTACATTTGTTTTTACTTTTTCTCCCTGTTTTAAAGTGCTCTCTGGTTTCTACACATAAATCGTCTGGCTCTTCCAGACAAATAACCACAAATTATAAGTTAAGAAAGTTTTGAAAGAGGCTGCTCTTACCTGCACTGTAGCTGTGTCAGTGGTGCTCCTGTTCTTGTGCTCTCTGCGCTGTCTTTCTCAGACTGAGCTGCACTCTGAGCAGTGGGAGGGATTTGAGCTACAGCAGGAGAGCCCTGAGGCTGCAGAGATGCACCTGATATTATTCCAGCCCGAAGCAACACTTGTGCGTGTGCATTTGCTTTCTGCAAGCCTCACCTCCACACCTGATCGGGCAGGCATCACTTTCGCTGCTTCTTGCCCTGGAGAAGTGGGTGGTAATGTTGCTGTAAACAGGTGCCTGGCAGGGCCACAGGCTCAGCTAAGTCTGAGAGAGACCCTCTGCAGCAATCTAAAGATCCTTTAGATCAATCTGAAGGTTTAGATAATTAAATCAATCAATCTGCAACAATCTAAAGGCTTAAAAAAAAGCTACAGAAAGCTTGTACTGCAATTTCATTATTATTTTAGTTGTTTTGAACTGGTGTTTCACGTGGATGCTACCTCCTAATCCTAATCCTAAATTCAAGGTGTCTGCTCCACAGAATCTCATGCTGTGTCAGACCTCTGGTAGCAGATTCTAGGTGGGCTGGGGAAGGAGGGAGGTACCTCAGAGTGATCTGTTGAGTCAGTGGCTCAATCCTTGTCTCAAACTCTAAAATTCTTCACCACCATATTCTTCAGGAAGTCCACAAGGCTTGTATTGTGCACAAGATGTTTTGTATGATAATCCTGTCAGAATTTTTTAAAAAGTGCTAAAATGCTATTTTGAATATATACAGGATTATAATTAAATTGTCAGTAATACAGCATATTTCTGATAATATTGTTGGTGATTATGAGCTAAATGAAAAAAAAATCTGATAATAAGGAAACAATTAGTCTTTAAAGATTGCTTTTACCTTCCTAATTCCTACATTACATTTAAGTTTCATAGTATTTCCTGCATATTATCATTGGATTCTTTTATCCGTATTAATCACTTATTTACTGAAATTAGATTTATGCCGTTTTGTCCAATTCTGTCTGTCTTATGAGATTCTAAGCATGCCATCTTACCTGCTTCAATATGTTATCTTTTTTTAAGATATAATCGATAAATGTCTTTTTAAGAGATAAGTGAGAATTCCATGCTGAAAACTAGAACAAATTTGCCTTTTAAATATCTGGAAGTGCTGTGTTTTGATCAGGAGCTTCTCCCACATGTCTTTGTCCTGCAGCACCTGGGAAAGACACTATGAAAGAAAACCTGATTGATGTTCTCATTTCCTGAGCAAGATCTCAGAAATGACAGGACATTTGACTGATAGGATGTTGTTCTGTGTATGAGTATATCTTCTTGTTCTTCTCTTCTCGCTTTTTGTTCTGAAACACTTTCTGTTTGGCATGTTGCATAGTTTCAGTATCTGCTCCCTTTTATTCAAATAATAAAAGACCTTTTTTAAATGAGCACACCAGTTTCCAAGAAAACGTGCTATGGCCTTTGGCGTCAAAAGTTTATTGAACGTGTGTAGTGAGTGTTAACAATGCTTTCTATTATCTGCTTGCTAAGTTGGTGAATGAGGTTGGAAATGTTATCTTTCTCTCACACAGAAAGCATATTGTGTAACAGCTACAGAAAGCACGAGCCAGAGGAGACATACACACTTTTAAAGCAGGTGGGACTTCTCACTGTCATCCTCACTGCTCTCATCAACATAATTCTTGGTGCTTTTGTCCTGCTTCTTAAAAGGAATTGGCCTCCAAGGCAGACTGGTGATCATAGTACCCGCAGGTGAGGTTCAGCTGCATTTTTGGGCTCCACAAACCAGATTGGGACGTCAGGGTTTTTTTGGCAGCCTGAGGGTGTGCTCCAGGAGGAATGCAGACAGAGCTGTTGCACACTGCTGGGCTGGTGCAGAAATAGCCATGCAAATCCATGCTGCACCTAGAGGCCGGGGAGAGAAGAAAAGATAGAAGCTGTGATAGAATCTTGGTGGTTTGCTCTTCTCTTTGGAGGAAGGAGAGACAGCATGTTGAAGTTTGGGAGCCGCTTGGGTCTAGTAACTGCCAGAGTGCTCCGATCCCGTCTTTGGAGGAATGCAGAGTAGTGAAGCTCCTGTATTAGAGCAGCTGCAGTCCAGGCAGTGTCACTGGCATTCTGTCTCCCATCCGGAGGATCGTATCCCTGCAGCACCCCTGCCAAATCCCTGCTGGGTCCAGTCTTCAGTGGGAACACCTTGTAGCCACCAGTGGATCATTCATTCCTATTGAATTGAGTTACACCACAATGTCCTTCTTTGGTTTGTATTTCTCAGGCTGCATTATTGTGTATTGTATTTTATCTTGGTCATCAGGTAGGAAAGGTACAGTACTTGTCCAGTGGTGTTGTTGACAAATTCAAGCGCTACATTTCCTCCTTTTGCTGAGGTATTAAATGGTTTTCAGTCATGTCTCAGTGTCTGATCTCTAGTGACCGAAGCCCTGGAAGAGAACTGGTTCCTTATTCTCATCCTTTTTAAAACAACATGGAGGAAAGTGATTTGTTCACTTTGAGAATCATTTTAATAAAATATCGCCAGGACAACAGTATTTCTAACTTTTTCAAGGACACATATTGTCCTTCCTTCAGGAAGGGGCCTATTGGAGCACTAGTTTTGATTTCAGTGTTGATTTTCCTCATGAATACAGCAGTGTGGTTCTGATATTGCTTTACACTACGGTGCTGTAGATAGTGAAGGACAGACCTTGTTGGGGTTTTTTTCATTTGGCTATAGCTATGAGTCTGTTACAAAGGTTTCACCCTTAATTTATCTAATTTTTGTTTGCTTGTCCTCTTGGCAGCTTAAGCCCACCTTCCTTCTTTACCAGTGTGTAGCCCTTTTTTTAGCAGTGTGTAGCAGAGCTGTATAGAATGGGTTATATCATTCCTTATTATAGCAACACATAAAAAGAACATATAAAGTTTTATTCTTTCAGTACAGCAAAGCAAATTGGGCACGCATAGTATCAAAAGCACTCTTACCTAAGTATCAGCAACAGGTAGTGCGTTAGTCATTAGTTTAACAAGTGTTGTTAAAATGGAAGGATTATTCTGTTTCTGAAAATCACTTCCAACTCCTGTCAGCCCTGGCAGTGAATGCCCACAGGGCAGCACATGGAGTATCTGAGCTGTCAGACCCAGCCTAGGTGATTCGCCATTTCATTCTGACTTTGAGCCATGGTGCTTCACGCACCTGACAGCCCTGCCACACTTGACAGCACTATGTAGTCAGGGTAGCAGGGACATCTCTTGCTTTCAGTCCCTGGTCACAGACACCTGTTCAGTGTAGAGGTTTGTAGGGATTAAGCTTGTTGTGTTCCAATGGTTAAACATAGAAATGATAAGATGCAGAGTGTTGAGCTGTGGATACTGTGTCTGCACACTGCAAAGTGTTGAGCTGTGGGCACCAGTATGTTTGCAAGATGGAGATAACCCACATGTTCCCTCTGACTCCATGAAGTGCTGGTTTCTTCTCACTCACTGTCAAGGTGTTCAGTGAGCAACAGGCAGCTGTTTCTCTGCTTCCGTTCCAGGTTTTATGATTCTCGGTCTTGATGACTCTGTGCCTTTCTGAATGAGAACCCTGTAGCTCTCCACCTGGACGGCAGCCCTGCAGTCGGGCTGTTGCTCTGCAGATTCGACTTACCTGTGCTATGTAAACCCTGGCAAAAATGTAAATGAAATGTAGGAAATGGCCTATAGCAAACCTTTCTACTGGGAATAGGTTTGTCCCATAACTGGCTACTTTTAATGTTCCTAAGATTTTGTTGTCTAGAGAAAGACAGTGCAGTAAATTTGGCTGTTTTGTATAAAGGCCTCAGGGCTGTGTAGACTGTCATTATCTCTTATTATCTGCCCTGGGGTAGGACTGTGTAGGTTACAGGCTGCTCTTCCATGGTCCCTGTGCAGCAGTTCAGTGGGCATGCAGGCAATGACAGAAACTAAACAACTATAATACTGTTTCTTGGAATGTAGGGTTTAAAGTGCAAAAGTAGTATCATGATTATTTACAGCTGTAGCTGGTATAATTTTAGTTATTATAAGAAACAATTTTCCTTATAAATGTCAGCGAGTTTCAAAATGTGTTTTAATGATGTCTGAACAAACAAACATGTAGGAGTGTCATCCATGAGTGGACACTTGGACTGTATTCCTAGGAGCAGGTAATCTCATCCATCCACCCATTTTCTAACCACTTTATTAAACTGAACAATAACCTATGCTGGACGGGACCTTTCAATCGCAGGGCAGACGCAAACACACTCACGCCAATTTTCCCAGAATCCAGTTAACCTACCTGCATGTCTTTGGAGTGTTGTTGGAAATAGAAGCACCCAGAGAAAACCTATGTGAACAAGGAGAGAACATACTAACTCCACACAGACAGCACCCCAGGAATTAAACCCAGGCGCTACCGTGCCACTACATGTGATCTCATGTGTAGAATAAATTAATTTTGTAGGAATTTCTGAAAGTTTATATAGGAATTATTCTAATGTGTCAATTACAGTGCTGTCCAGATTTCACAGCACAGTGGCACTGTTTCAGATGTGCTTGTAATATTTTGGAGTGTTTATATTTGGACAAGTTTCTCTGACAGTAACATCTCTGCCCATCTGCCTCCTCTCTTCAGCCGCTCTTTGATGAAGCACTTGTCATTCTAATGAAACGTAACCACCTGCTTCAGGTCCCAACAAGAAATTGTTAAAGTGTATTAAGATGACTGTACAGTTTTCTTTCAGCCAGAGAAATGTCAAAATACTTTTTTAAGGCTCAAAATTGTTAAAGGCTGTAGATACTTTGCATATGAGCTCTGCTTTTGCCTAATCCATGTATCTGCCTTCCCCCGGGATAGATAATTAGAGCCTCACACTGAACTTTCCCAAAACTCTATCTCTGTGGGAATTCGAGAATTCCAGAAGGGCACCTCTCCTTGTTTGGGAAAAGGGACTTTAGGGACTCTTGGCATCTGTCAGCTCCTGTCCCTTTCCCCCCGTTATGTGATGGGCAATCGAATTCTGCCGGTGTGTCGTACACGAGACAAATTCTCAGCTCCTCTCACTGCTCCAGAAGTGTGAGAACAACTGAAAAAAAAACTTCAGTGCTTTTGCGGCTGTTCATTCGTAATAAAAGAAATAAGCCAGCTGTTACCAAAGCTTAGCAACATAATAGTGTTTCCTAGCAAATTCATTTGTCCAGCCTGTTTCATTTGGTAGTTAGTAACTAATTGATCTGAGCATCTCATCTATCGCCTGCCATTCTTGATAGAAGCCAGATCATCGGCTTCAACAACAGCTGGATAGCTTGTAAGGAACTTGTAAGGAACTGACTCGTGTTCTCAAACCTAAAAGCACATTTCCACGTGTTACATCTAGTTTTTGTTTCACTGTTGATACTGAAGAAGCTCACTGGGGGGTTGACAAGCGCTTTGAGTGGAGAGTCCAGAAAAGCGCTATATAAGTGTAAGCAAATGTATTATTATTATTATTATTATTATTATTATTACTTGTCAAGGCATTTGAGGGTCTTGAAGATTTGGTTCAGGTCCCCTCACAGTCTCCGCTATCAACACTAAGGCGGTTCAGTTCCTATAGCCTGTCAGGGTGGGACACTCCCTTACGCCCGGGACTGTGTCTGTCCACTCTCCTCAGGACTGTTTCCCATGCTGCCATGTTTTCTCTGACGTACAGAATATTCCACATGAGGTGCCTGTCTTTTTGCTGGCTGTGAAGAACCTTGTGGGTGACTATCTGTGCTCATCCCTCAGTGGTGCCAGTGATCCTGAAGGCTTTGACTTACGACGAGAAGCGTGGGGCCTGCAGCGTCGGCTCCAATGTGCGAGACGCCGCCAGCTATGTGTGCTGGGCCTTCGCCCGCGCCTACGAGCCCCAGGAGCTGAAGCCTTTCGTCACGCCGATCGCCAGGTAGCCTGTGTTCCGCTGGAGACTGCACTGAATCAAAGTCACTAAGATTTAAGACATCTCAGAAAGACACCAAATCTACAGTAGGACCGATAAAAGGATTGATCTCCAAAAGACAATAAATTCTGCCTGAGACCTTACAAATAATAACTGGATTATTTCCTATTTGCACCAGAAGTTTTTTTAAGATGCAAATAATGTGTCTGCTGAATGCACAGGCACTGTACTCTTCACCAAGCTACGTTTCTTCGCAGGTGTAATGCACAAGTGCAGAACGCACCTGTGGCCCTACCCTATTCTTAGTTAATAACCTGGAATTCCAGGTGTGAAACCTGTTTTATCATGAAAATCTGCTCTATTACTTGTTCTGCTTTGCTCTTTTAGAGATCTTATTGTTGTTTAATTTTTGCTACAGCAATATGGTAATGAGTGTAAAAACAGATTTTGTGTGATTTTAATGATTTTAATGATTTATTCAGGTTTTATATTAAAATTCCTTTATTCGTTGCTGATGTAATGCTGGAGGAGCCTCTATGCATGGTAAGGCTTTAGGTTTGAAGGAACAAACTCACATGGCAGACAAAATCACATAGATGTAAGCTGTAGCTGGGAAGCATTTCACAGACTTTGTCTTTCTGGGAGTTTTCCAGTCGGTCCCCTCACACAGCTCTGTGGCTGAGCTCTGTTTCATGTGGCCTCACTCTGGCAGGCTGGGAGTGCGGGCAGCACAGCAAGGAGAGGAGGCGGTGTGCAGTGTGGGCGTTGTCACACCTCACCCGCCCGCCCTCAGGCTCTCCATTATTGTGTAAAGAAAAGGCAGGGTGTGGGTATTGGCTGAGCAACGAGTCTGAGATAGCTTGCCCCAGGCCAGGCTTGTTCACCAGTACAAGGAACTCTGCTGCATGGCTGTAAGGTATATCTTCATCTTTGAAAAGCTTCTTGGAACTTCTGACTGATTTAATATCCCTGCACCCTGCACCTCTGCTTTACCAAATGATGATGCTATGGCTTTGTCAAACATCAAAGAGGGAACATCAAGCTTTTATGAACAACAGCGTATTTAGGACTGAGAAATTTGATTTACAAAATTCCTGAAAGCTAAACGGAAGCAAAACTTAGTGGGGAACAAATGCTCGCTGATTTCTGGCATGTTGTGTGCCAAGTGGAGATAGCTGGTTGCTTCTGTACAAGGGGCATTAAAGCTATAATCCATTAATAACAGATCTGACGGGAAAAGGCAGGGATCAGCCTGCAGTGAGCCAAGAAAGAACACATTTACTCTTGTAGCCACTCATGAGCCTTGAAATTTTACATCTTAACAAACTGGTTAATGTGAACAATAAACAATAACCAGGGTGCCCCTCCCTTTAAGGAAAGAGTCCTCCACCTTGTGTGAGAGCAGCTTCTGGGGGAGTTTTTACCGATCATGCTGTGGCCAGTGTGGGGAAGTGTGGCAGCTGGAGAAACACGTATGGCCACTCTCCTTTCTGAAGTGCTGCAGATTTGCTCCTGCTTGAGGGGACGTGTCTCGGCAAGCTGAAGAACCACTTGTGCCGCCTAACTGGTTCCTTTCCCTCTCGCCTGTCCCTCCCTGGGCAGTGAAGCCTATTGTCTGCAGAGTCTCAATCATTGAGTTTAACTCCCAAATCAAACTACAGAAACTGTCAGGAGCTGCCAGGTTTCACTTCTGCTCCTGCAGTTTCGATTGCATTTGGCAGTTTTTAGATGAACTTGCCGGGTCCTGCATTGTTTCATCAGATTCTGGCACGGTGCACATTTTACATTAAACAAAAGAAACTTTTCTGTGCGGGTGCCTTGCCCTAGGATGAGCTGAAGACACATGCTAATAAGAAATTATAGTATTAATTGATTTTGTGTGCTCTCAAATTTGAAATACTTTAATTATCTGGCACCTGTTCTAACGCAGCAGAGTGTCAAAGTGTGGTTCTGTCATTTCTAAGCACCTCTAGCATGATTAATTGAGAAAGATTAAAAACAGATACTCACTGCTTTATTGTCATTACAGATTTGTATTTTATTTGAGTAAACTCCATATTGTGTGACGCTGATATTAAAAAGCTGTGTTTAAAACTGTAGAAAACTGTAGAACAGCAATAAGACAATATAATCTCTCCGTTGAACTCTGATTGTGTGAACATTGAGCCTTCACACTCAGCGTTGCAGGTCGTTAATTTGATTCCGAACCTTTGCATCATTAGCAGTCTATGAACCATCCCAATGACAACTGCATCTGCCTTTATAGTGTGACTAACTAAACACCTGGAAGATGTGCCTCTTTTGTTGATTTGTTTCTGGTCTTAAATGCAGTAATATTCTCCTACAATTCAGCAGTACAGTGCCCATTTTAAAATGATAAGTCTCATGAACATTTGAAAGTTTTTTTTTTTTAATTAGCAGTAAACTTTGACCTTAAATGAATAATGCATTGCAATTGTTTTGCTGTTAATGTTGTCTGAAATATGTTGACATGACAGTAGACTGTCTGAGAAACACAGCTGCACTGAATTTAGAGATTCAGAGCTCAAGAGACCACACATTAACTCCATTCCCAGTGTAATAACTGGAGGAGAATCCTGAAGGGTATTTGCTTGGAACCGGGAGCCCTGTAAGGAGACACCGGCTGCAATCTCCCCATGCTGACAGGCGACTCATGCTTCCCATGCTGGCTCTGTGTGAGCCGTGCTGCAGTCTTTTCACCTTTGCACATTCCCATGACTGTTACCACAGGCACAGCAACGAGCCTGCTGGGCTGAACATGCCTGAGATTGTGCTGAGGCTGCATTTAAAAGCTCTGGCTGAGCAGGAGGCTGTTTGGGAGCTGGCAGCTCTCTGCTGAACCTGTTCAGTGCAGAACAGAGAGGCGTAAGGAAAGATTGCTTCTCTGCACCATTACGCCAGATGATCAAAGGCAAATAACATTGCCTGAAGGGTGATTTTATACACCTTATTCAAATATACACAAACCTATTAGCACCACATAAAACCAGAAACAGAAAATAGATATCCTTAAATTTTCAACTAATTTGAAAATTAGTTCAAATTAAACATATGTCACTTGAGAATCTGTTTCAGTAGCCTACCTTCAGCTTTACTGCAGGTTAAAGCACCTAACCTTGTGTTTCTCAGACTTCATACATCTCTCCATAGTTATTCCAGTAGAACACAGTTCAAACGTAGTTAAAATGTTTATATACAGAGAGAGCAAAATAATTTGCCCCGATCTCTTTACAGGACACTGTTTATGGGAGTCAGATTCTGTTAGTACGTGTTTTAAAAAGAGACTTTAGACTGCGAAATATATCTGCTGTTCTGATATATCTCTGCCTGTTTTTCTTCTTTGCAGGGCCCTTATCATTGCGGGAGTGTTCGACAGGGATGTGAACTGCCGAAGAGCAGCATCGGTCAGTGTTTGCTTTGAACTGGTTAGACCAGACATAAAGTGAAATATATACAGGAATCTGAAGAAAAAGAAGCCATTAGTTGGCAAAGACTATATACAGGATTTATAGGCTGTTTATTGAATTTCTTGTGTCTTTCAGGCTGCGTTCCAGGAGAATGTTGGGAGACAGGTACTGAAACCTTCACCGTTTTTCTTCATCATCGTTTGCTTATCAAATGTCCTAATCAAGAGTGTATATCATGTTAATTCACTAACACAGTTAAGGGATAAGTAAAATAAATATGGAAAACATTGGCTAATTATTTGAATTTTAAGTTCTACAAATAAAACTTAATCTGCATTACATTAATATGCTATTAACCTTTTAATAAATTTTTCCTTTACTCTCATTCCTTACCTTAAGAGAGGCCAGATTTCCAGTGGTGGTGCTTTTCCTACTCAGAAGCAGATTGTTCTCATGAAATGTAAAACTTTACTGTTAAAAATGCAATTTTGATTTAAGTTATTACATAAGAAAGCTATAGTTCTGAAGGCTTGAGAGCTATAGTGCATGACTGGACACCTGTCCAGATATTCTGAATTGTAAGTTTCTGCGTTGCTGTTGGACAGCCCTGGTGTGAAAGGCAGACAGAAGATGGCACTGCCCTCTCTCCAGAGCTGCCTGTGCCTGGCTGTGCTCACACTTGCACAATACTATTAATTTACAGTAAAAAAGAGGAAAGTTTCATATCAATCACAATGCAAAATGAGTCATTAAGCACTGCAAAGAAGGCTTACATTCATCTTTCTTTCTGTGAACCTGTCAGCACATGTATTTACAAGAGGATGTCCATGCCCTCTGCAGTTTCAAGAAACAAGGGTGCTAAGTGCATGAGTTTCTCCAGGAATATTTGCTTTCCTTTTAGAGCGGAACACCATGACCAATGGCCATTTCCTCAAGGGTTTTTCTTGGGAAAACTCTTGTCTGAGGTTTGCTAATTACTGGAGATGAATGTCTGTGGTTTCAAACCACTGTCTCTATTAAAGTATAATTCTTGTAATCATTTCTAAACTATAAAATCACTCACCTGAAATCTTGAAAGGATGTTGCTGCTGTGTTTGGCCAGTAGGTTCTCTGTTTTCTTTATTATTGTTGTCTTCTAGATGCTGTGTAATAAAAATGGGAAATAGAGAAATGTCTTAGACCGACAGGTTAAAATTAATGCACCTTTTTAGTCTTGAATGGAGAAGGCAGTTGTATGACCTAATTCACATATTCAAAATCCTCAAAGGTACTGACAATGTCAGTGAACTTCGTAAGAATCAAACAACACTGAAACACAAGTGGAAACTAAAGGGAAGTGCAATTAAAAATAAGAACAGGGAGCACTTCTTTACACAAAGGATTGTGGGAGTCTAGAATAACCTGCACGGCTGTTGTTTAATGTGGCACCCCTGCTTCTTTCAAGAAACAACCGGATAAATTCCTTGAGATCTTGAGATCCATCTCGTTTGTACCTTTTTTTTACTTAAACAGCCCTGGGTCAACTGATCAGCCAGTGTAAGAGTTTAATTTTGACAAAGGGAGTCATACCAACTGATTTTTAAGGGCTTTGACTACCTTCCATAAAAATACCACTACTCAAGTCTCAGTCCTCTCCCTTATTTGTAAATAGTGGCATTTGTTTATTTATGCACTTGCTGGAGTTCAGTTTTTTCACGAGTAGGCATTATGCAAATATCTGGCTTGCAGCCCCATGCTGTCGTGTTGTCTCGTTCAGGCTTGTGCTGTAGCTGAAGTGACGTGAGTCTGAGGAAAAATCTGCTGCACATCTAACAAAAACTAAGCAGGTGAAGAAACTGTGATGACGACAATGAAATCCAGTTTATTTTGGGGTGTGTGATGCTATTAAACTTTAAAAAAAATAGATGACATCTTCTGTATTTGACCATTTATTTCAGTTCTATTTTATTGCTTTTCAGAAAAATAGTAAGATTATTTTGTACAGTAATTTATAGACATTCTGTCACTGGTGTTTCTTAAAATCTGCTTTAGAAATTAATGTTTCAAATAAGAAGAACTGTTTCAGCAGGAATTTATATTTTTTATGTTTATTTTACTTTTTTCTAGAAATAGTGCAGCACACTGGTGTGTAGTACAGATATCATTAATGTGCCATGATGTTTTCTAAAAGTCTGGTAAGAACACAAGAATCAGCCTGTTTTGTTAATAAATAATTGGTCACAAAATCTCTCCCACCTGCTTCTAACTGGATCAGGTATTTTCATCTTCAAACATTAGCTGTTTACAGTATGTTGTTCCAGATCCTCACATTTGGTGTAAATAAGAGTCCATAGCATCAGTTCTAAATGTGTCTCCTCTTAACTCCCACTTGCGAGGCTTGTTCATGTTTCACAACTGAACTTGAGGTAGCTCTTTGAGTTGGCATGCACGTACTGTACCTTTGAGGATTTTGAAAGCACCAATCCCATACACTGTATTCTAATTCTTAAGAGATTCTGTTCCCCCTGCAAGTCTGGGCCTAAGAATTCAATCTATTCAGAGGACAAATATCCTTGTCTAACATGGGGATCAAAATTGAACATTTCATACAGTATGTATATTTCACCATATCTGTAATATGTGTAATTTCACCATACTGTATCTCCTGTCCTGTTTTTATTAGATACTGTGCGTCAAAAACACATAATTACATAACTGTTTAAAATGTATTATCAAGAAAATGTAGAAAAGTGCACTGAAATTGTATTGAGACAAATTTCATTTCAATAATTGGATTCTGTGAGTATAACTACAGTAAGTATAGTGAACAACCTTGACTAAAAACTGCTATTCTTGCTTAACTCATTGTGTTGTCAAAGTGTGAGCTGTTCCTTTGTAATCTGAGAATAGTGGAGATTGCTGTTTAATATCTCTACCACAAGGCTCCTGTCAAAACAGATCTGTTGAAGATTAGGGGTTCTGCGCTTGTGTATTTGAATGCCTTTCCCTCTATTACTGAGTCCTAGTCTGACCAGGCCTCACTATGCTTTCCTGAAAAGGGGGGCACAGACCTTCTGAAACATCTTCTGTCCCAACAGGGCACTTTCCCACACGGTATTGATGTTCTCACTGCAGCAGATTACTTTGCAGTTGGAAACCGAACCAACTGCTACTTAAACATAAGGTAAGGCAGAAGAAAACATAAAGGGACTTGAGTTTCTTTGAGAAAGATGCTTGTTAACTTGCTCAGTGTCTGTAAAATAATACAAATTACCTGACTTATTTGCAATAACCAGGCCTTTGATTTTTTATGTTTATAACCATCACTAATATATGGTTAATTCTATATCTTACTGAGCACAAATCCAGTTAAAAGGTGAAAGGGGTATCAAATGACAGGTTCTTTATGCCCACGGAAGACCCAGTGAATAAGGTTTAGGAGTTTTTGAGGTTATTCAGCTTTAGGAAAATGAAAATGAGAAGTTACATATGAAAGGGAGACATTGTGAAATCATCTCCAGATATTGTATTAGTTTCTTGGGAACATAAAACGCTTTTCATGGTTGGAGGTTTGTGACAATTCCTAAATATGAGATAAAATTGAAGAGGAACTTGCTTTAAGTGTTTTTCAAATTGGCCAATTATTACTGTACTTATTCCATTCTATGTTTTGTCACAACAAATGAAGGAAAGTGATAAAATAGTTGTTTGTGTGCACTGGCAGAGGCTGCACCAGTGCTCAGTCACACTGTGAGATCACCTGACAGGACTGACAGGTAGGAACTCCAGGGCAGTAGCAGGGGTCAGGGACAGTGTGCTGCTTTCAGGCTGCTCTGTTGCCTGGTCAGTGTTATTTAAACAGGACTCCAGGATGTGAACAGTGAATCCTTGGATTTACCCACCTGTGTAAGACAGCTTACAGTACATGTGGGATGAGAATGACAAGCTGTATTTTGGAAGAAGTAGTTTGCTTTTTAACCTTGGTGGTAAACATACTCTGGTTAATGTCTAAATAATTCACATTTTAACCTCTTTTGAGTTTTCTGCTCTTTTTACCAAACAATGTGTAACAGCAGGACAGACAGTGATATCCTTGCCATATGCTGTCCTCTGAAGTATATAATCTGTTTACAGCACACTGTCTGTCCTGAAGAACTAACTGCAAGCTAAACTGTTCAGAGCATATGCAAATCGTCAGGCACAGTTTTGAACTTTTGAAAACAACACGTGGATGGTTTTCTGTGAACCTAACAGTTTCTATGCAAATGCATGAGACTGATTTTACTGTTACATGTCAGTAGGCACAGTGAAAAACAGCGGGAAACATTCAGGAGTTCACAATAGATTGAGCTTGAGCAACTTTATGAAAATGTTGCCCTCAGGTTAAAACTTGATGCAAACGGAATCGGTAGCCATGTGGTACAATGTTTCCTTGTTAGAAAAATATTCCTGAAAGGTATAAAAATGCAGTGTTCTAAAACCCTAGACAGGAGGGTATATGGAGTGTAAATAAATACTTAACTTGATCTCACTTCCCACCTGGACAGTTCTTTTCCACATCATGCACTACAGAGGACTAGTTTTTCAGGTCATTGTGACATTTGAGACTTGTAGTGGTGGCTAGGTTACTGCTCTCATCGCTGAGATGTTTGCTTTGTTCTATGCAGTGAGCTGTGGTTATACTGTACATCTATCACATGTCCTGCAGTGTGTTGTACTGTAGCCGGGGTAACAGGGAGATGTCAGTTGGACATCAGAAATGTAAAAGAAAATGTGTACGTGCCATATATAAGAGAGATCACTTTATTGGCCATATACAATTTCTTGCATTAGGAATGTGTCTTTTCACATACCCCGGCTTGCTCTCCACGAGATACACAGACAGGGAGAGAAGCTTGGTGTCAGAGCGCAGGGTCAGCCATTTATACGGCGCCCCTGGAGCAGTTGGGGTTAGGGGCCTTGATCAGGGGCCCAACGGAGTAGGATTCCTCTTCTGGCTGTGGGATTTGAATCGGCAACCTTCCAGCCACAGGCGCAGATCCTGAGCCACAGAGCCACCGCTCCGCCCTCAATTTTATACCATTTTATAGTTTGCTTCTATGTTGAAGTCCTTTACATAATGGTGTTGTTCTGGGAGCAGGGTTGTGTAAAGGAGTGGTAACCGCGAGGGTGTTTTCTTCTCACAGTGTGTACATCGCCAGTTTTCCAGAGTACACCCAGGCCATGATAGACCACCTGGTCACCATGAAGGTCAGCCACTGGGATGGGTAAGGACCAGGATGCCCACGCTGCTGGGAGAATGCGCTAGCAGATAGAAATACTCAAGGCTACTTTCTCTCGGGGCTTGAAGCAATACGTGATTATTAAATCCTCCGTTTCAGGACGATTCGTGACCTGGCCACTAAAGCTCTTCACAACCTTACCCCCTGTGCGCCCAAGTACATGGCCAGTACTGGTGAGTACCGTTGTGTTTGAGACCGAGGTCCATGAGTGACCTTGTGCAGCAGTTCTTTGGAAATACTGTGTGGACAAGCTTGTCAGAGGAAAGACTATTAAAAATGAAAGCAAAGTATTTTCTATAATGGTTTCCTCTTCTCTGTCAGTGACTTGTATGTGTCACTAGCTGCCAGGTGAATTGAGATCTTTCGTGAATCTGCCTACCTTAGGATCACGGGGGGCTTCACACTGCCCCCTAGTGGGAATTCGGGACAGTTTACATCCTGGCTTCTTCATTCTTTTATGCTTAAAACTAACAATTTATCTGTAAAGATGATGTTCAGTACGATAAGGGTGAACCTAACTTAAAATGTTAAATAGGAAATTTATAGATGATTCCACTGATTTTTTCATGCTTCACAACACTTTTTTAATGTTGTTTTTACAGTTTTGCCCAAGCTTTTACCCTTGGCTACTGGCATGGACCTACACAGCCGACATGGGGCTATCCTGGCCTGTGCAGAGATCACTCACGCACTATCAAAACTGGCCGCAGCTGCAGACAGGTGGGAACAGGAGCCCAGATATACAGCAACACTTCCACACCTGCGTCTCGGTTCTGTACGCATTTAGACCGTCTGTCCCTGATCGACAGCTGCACGGTTAGATCCTGTGCTGTCTACCTTAATGACAATCTTGATCTTGTGTGGCATCAGCACAGTATAAAAGATGGCAATCTGTGCTGCACCATTTCGTTTGAAGTATTAAATGGTGTGTGGTTGCAAACTTCGTAATGAGAACAACCGTTTAAACTTAAATGAAATTAAGTAAGCTGAAAAGTGTTTCATTATTATTATTTATATTATTTATATTTGATGATATTTAACATAGCATATTTTCATTACTGTTACACACATGAACAGAAATATTTTAAATGATCTTCCTTTTTTTTCAGGCCAGCAACTGACTTTCTGTCACCAGAGCTGGTGGAAGGGCTCAGAGACATTCACCAGAAGGTCTGTACTCTCTCCAGACACCACAGACTAGCTGTGCCTCTTGTGACAAAAGGGACTCTGATGTTCTAATGAAGCATTTCTTTTCCACAGCTTTTTGACAGGCAGCAGTACAGGTGAGAGTCTTTAACTGACTTTAGTAATGTTTTCTGGGTTGTTTATTTAATTTGGTTTTCTACAAAGATTACTCAGGAGTGTTACATCAGGTTACAGCTTATTTTTACAACGGGTCTAAGAATATAGAGTAGCTTTCGAAGATAGTATCACTGAATCCCTGAACAAGAAAATGCAGACATACAGAATAAATAAATTACACTGAATATTAACCGGTGGGTGGGATAGTAGATTCATTGTTTAGAACTAGAAGCTCCTGTTTTCAGATGTCACAGGGCCACCAGGGCTTCTGGGTGGTAACTGCAGGACATAAGATAATAAATCTGCAAAACGTTCTGCCCACGTTGCCCATTTGGTTGACAGTAGCTACCACATCCTGCTGGGCGATGGTATCAGGGCTGGGCAGATTTTTCCAGGCTCCCAATACCCTCCAGGGCCAAGATCCTGTTGGTCTTTTTTAAGGTCTGTCTACCCTGGGTTGTTTGTTTGTTGATCTTGCTGCATTTTTAAACTCAAGATATCGGGCAACTAAAAGTAATTGTAAGGTAATTGATAGCTTTATTTTCAGAGTGCACACACTTATTGTTATTTTATGTTTTTGTAGAGGTCTTGGTGGCGAGCTTATGAGGCCAGCAGGTAAATTGGATTTTTTCTGTAGCTGATTCTTACTATTCTTGTATTTTTGTGCTAATGCATTTCATAATCATGTGGTTTTGGGTTGGTTATTTCAGTGTGTGTTTTGTCCCAAGGGGTATATTACACTTTCTACTGATATAGATATTGTGAACATCCCCTAGTCTTTTTCTCTGCTGCATCATGTGCCACAGCTCTATAATATTTATTTAAGTGAAATGAGTTTCTCTTTTATTCTTTGCAGTCTGTGCCCTAATAGAAAAGTTGTCATTGTCCAGAATGCCCTTCAAGAACGACCCCATTATCAGTAAGTGGGTTAATCTATTGTTCAGCTGGTACATCCGCAAGCTGTCAATAGTGAAACACGCACATGAAACATCAGCTCCTCTTTATTGTTTGTAGTTATGCAGATCTCTATTAATCCAGAGCCCAGAGGCAAGATTTGTGTGTTTCTGTTAATGAAAAGGGGATCAGAGTATCAGAACAACCCCAGGTGAGAAATGGTATGACAGAGCAGGCTGCAGCCTATAGTCACAACTTCAGTTTGGACCACTGTGCTCATCAGTTTGTATCTCTCTGTAGTCCCATAGCCAGTACTGGGTTTGCTGGGAACATAATTCTGTTTGTGTATGAACTCTACTGAGGTATTTAATATAAGTACTTTTCAGTTGCATAGCATAATGAAACATCTTTTCAGTGTTTTCAAAGAGAAGCATTTTCTTACAGAAAATGTTTTTTATGCTTGCTGGGAAGCATTCAGCTTTTCTTGTGCTCCTTAACGCTCTCGCTGAGCACACAGTTTCCAGACTGTGCCACAGAATGATCTGACCTGTCCTGTTGCAGGAGGGTGGCAGTGGCTGATTGATGACAGCTTGAAAAGTCTGCGACTCTTCTCCAGTGGAGCAAAACAGAGCATAAAGGTACTGTATTTTTCATGAGTGAGGTTCTTTATCATTGATCTTGATTTTGTGAATCAGTGGTAAAATATAAAACAGCGGACACAAAACAGAAATAAAACAGAAAACAGAAATAAAATGTTTGATATGCTGTAATTTTCCAGTTCTAAAATCTTTCAGTGATAATTAAGTGGGAGGCTGCTGGCCTGTCAGGCTCAGGTCAATGAAATGCAGATCTGGTGGCCAATGTGAAATTATTAACAGTACCAAGCGAAGTTTCTGAGCCCCATGTAGTAGTGTTACCCTTAGTTGTGTGTTACAGACGCATGACCTCAGCCTACAGAGTGCGAGAGAGCCTGTGAGATGACTTGTTGAGTGCTGTTATTGCAGGCAGGCTCATTGTGTTTCCTTCGTTTCTAAGTCTGAGTAATCCCCTGTGTCTGCAGGAGGCGGCCGTCTCGGCGCTGGCTGCGCTGTGCCAGCAGTATTACCAGGTGGCGCCTGGAGCTGCTGACCCCGCCATGCAGGGTAAGACAGAGGCTGCACCACCGTCCAGTGCCAGGGCAGAAATGCTTTTGTTGCGGTTTCCACTGAATCTGTGTTTGAAAATAAGGGAAGGAGCCACTGAAGAACTAATCTGACATGTTCCATACCATCTCCGCTAAAAGCCACTCAGCACTGTTTGAGACAAAATAATTTGAAATCTTCAGACTGGCAAATTATAAGCACAGATTTGGCAAACCAGATTATTTGAATTCTTCAATCACAGTGATCGGTGTAGTTTGATCAGTCTAGGAATGGAGAGAGAATACTCTGTCTGTGTGTCTCTGTGCAGAGGAGCTGGTGAGCCGATACACCGCGGAGCTACAGAGCACGGAGATGTTGACCCGATGTGGATGTGCTCTTGCACTGGGATCCCTGCCCCGTTTCATGATCCATCAGAGACTGCAGCAGGTAGAGAGTGATCCACACACTGGCTCTCGTACACACAGTGATCCGCACACTGCCTCTCCTACACACAGCAATGGGCACGCCGGCTCTCCTACACACAGCAATGGGCACGCCGGCTCTCCTACACACAGCAATGGGCACGCCGGCTCTC